TACTTTGATCTCTTAAATCAGGGTTGGTTCATTTGTGGTCTTAACTACAGCTCCCATCATCCACTGCCATTGGTTGCTAACTACAACTCCCATCATCCCTTGTTATTGGTCATGTTGCCATGCTGGAAGTTGGAGTTCAACAACATTGGGAAGACTAGAGGTTCTCCTTCCCTGCTACGAACCCGGAAAAACTGACTTGTTTCAATGGCATTTAGATAAAAACATGTTCCGGCCTCTGCCACCAGCAATGGAAAGACTAGCCTCATCCATCAGCCAGAAAAGGAGCAGCTACAGAGAGCATGCTTCTCCAATTCTCTGCTTAAAAGAGCTCTCTACTTCAACTGCTACTTGTGAGGGTATACATAACAGAAGGGAATCAGGATGCTCTGACCCCATCAATCAATAAGAAGACAAGAAGACTGGGTTGTGTAAGCTTGGGAGGGGGCCCAGTATTAATGCAACCTGTTGCAAACTGCCTTAAGAATTATTCAGTGGTAAGGCACACCATAAATCTCCAAAATAGTTAATTTTTAATCCTATGTGGACTCAGGCCAAATTAAACCCAAATATCCATTACAAAATTCAGAAATATTATTAAACAAAGAATCCGATTACTGAGGGAGAACAGGGCATACATTTAGGTATAGAAGGAAATTAAGGAAACATAGCATATTCTCACAGCTAAAAAGCAACAAAGTTTGTTCTGGTCTCTAAGGTGCTACTGGACAATTTTTTAATTTATTTCGACTGCGTCAGACCAACATGGCTACCTACCTGAAGCTAAAAAGCAGGATGAAACAGAAAGTGTCCATTTAGCAGGATTCTGGAGAACCAAAGTGCTTTTCTACTTTTGCCAAAGCTAAGTGCTTCCAACACACTGAGGTATGTCTATGGAAACAGCAAAATGCACCCAAGTATTTCCAACAAGGAAACATCCTTATATGGAAAAGGGATTATTATTTCATTTGGTGCCATGCCCTTTTATGGTGTGTAGCTGATGAGGAGCAGTTATAATGCTCTCTAGCGGAGAGGAATTTTAATTAATATACCGGAACATAAAGTATACAGCTACCACTTTCAGAGATTTAAGGAAGTACACCCTGACATTTACATTTTTGACCTCTTAATTCTACACCTGTACACCAGTGATGGCCAAACCTGGCCCTCCAGCTGTTTGGGGACTACAACTCCCATCATCCCTAGCTAACAGGATCAGTGGTTAGGGATGATGGGAACTGTAGTCCCAAAACAGCTGGAGGGCCACGTTTGGCCATCACTGCTGTACACTTTTATCTATATTTTAGGCTCCTTGTGTCCACAAGATGGCATTGTACAACTAATATTGAAAGTTTCACAAGGCATTGTCAGAGAATTGTGAAAGAACATCAGAGATAAAAATGCTATTGTTTAGCAGACCGTGATGTATCAGAGGATGAAAAAATGATGTGTCAACAGCAGGAGCTGTTCGCTTCACCTCAATCTTAAAATATGTGGACAAGTCAGAGGTTGAAGTAAATTAAATAGTTATTCTTGAAGAGCCCTTAAAATTTCAACTGCCAGCAACTGAATTTGAAAGGTGTCTGACATAACTTTTTCAGACACTCATCTTAAGACCCATTTCTTCATACAAATGGATGACCATTCAACAGTTATGGTCAGGAATACCAACTAGTGGGGATGTTTTAAAACTCATCTAATTAACGCTTCTTTGCAAAGATGGGCATTTTAGACTAAAATCATTTTAAAATGCTGATCGCTGGTATCTTTAATACCTTTTACTGGAATTTCTGGGAGAGAATATAAGCTTTTTGCATGTCTGAGAGCATCTTCTTCCAGAATAGAGAAGCAAAATAGATTTTCAGGGAAGCTGAAGAAGTTTCTGTCATTGCATACAAACCAAATTCATTAACACATGAAATACTTGTAACTTCGTATCAATATTGTATTTATAATAAACACCCCTGCTGTTATATAGCCTGATGGCTGTTGCTGTAATCCCAGGTATCTCATCCCCCCCCCCCCAATAAAGCACATTGGGTGTGGGTGAGGGAGCCCTAGCCCTTCTGGCCACAGAGAAATCCTTAAACAGGCCACGGCAAAACACTTCCACATTTGCCTCTCCCTGTTTCAGTACATAATGCAGTTGCAGCCAATAAGTTAACATGTATTAAATTGTGTGAAAACAGGTTAAAATCCCAGCACTGGAAATGCAGTGAGCACATAGTAAACAGAAGTGTGAACACTGTCAAAGTTGAGATTCTGTAAAAACTTTAACTAAACCATGCTGAAGCTCTCCTCCCAGGCACGTGAAGAGGAGCACATGAGCCAAACATTTGCCTCAAGGTAGTTTTTATTGAGAATTTCCATTCCAGCTTAAGGAGTAGACATGGGATTGTTACGTGTCACATGTCTGTTTACATTCCAGCACAGTATGCTGGGAACTTCCGTTTGTGTATAGCTTTTGCTTTTCTCTGCCTCTCCGAGGAGAAGAAAGGGAGACGACATGTTTTCTTTGTCCTGATTTATGTTTAATAAATCTTTAGCTATTAGTATGTTTCTACAAACCTCATGCCTGTTCTGTTTGCGCAGTATGCTCTGCTAATATAGCGTGCTCAGGCTTTTGAAGCCTGGGTCGCTGATTTACATGGCACCAGAGATCGGGGGATTGTCATGGCTGGAAGGGCATGATCCAGCTGAGGGCTAGCCAGCTGGCATCTCAATCCCCGAAGGATGCCGACAAAAGTTTTGTCCACATATCACTAAACCATGGTTTAGCATTACATGCTGACACAGTTGCTGAGAACAGACGCTGGGAGAGTACTCTTGCTTTCATGCTCAGTTTGTGGGCTTCCCAAAGGCTGGTGCCTGTGAAAACAAGGTTCTGGTCCAGATGGACCTTTTCAACTGACCCAGCTGGGTTCTTAGGTTTTTATGTATGCAACTTGGATGATGGACTCTAGGGCATCCTGATCAAATTTGCAGATGACACCAAACTGGGAGGGGTGGCTAACACCCCAGAGGACAGGATCACACTTCAAAACGACCTTGACAGATTAGAGAACTGGGCCAAAACAAACAAGATGAATTTTAACAGGGAGAAATGTAAAGTATTGCACTTGGGCAAAAAAGATGGGTGACACCTGGCTTGAGAGCAGTACATGTGAAAAGGATCTAGGAGTCTTGGTTGACCACAAACTTGACATGAGCCAACAGTGTGACGCGGCAGCTAAAAAAGCAAATGCAATTCTGGGCTGCATCAATAGGAGTATAGCATCTAGATCAAGGGAAGTAATAGTGCCACTGTATTCTGCTCTGGTCAGACCTCACCTGGAGTACTGTGTCCAGTTCTGGGCACCCAGTTCAAGAAGGACACGGACAAACTGGAACGTGTCCAGAGGAGTGCAACCAAAATGGTCAAAGGCCTGGAAACGATTCCTTATGAGGAACGGCTAAGGGAGCTGGGCATGTTTAGCCTGGAGAAGAGGAGGTTAAGGGGTGATATGATAGCCATGTTCAAATATATAAAAGGATGTCACATAGAGGAGGGAGAAAGGTTGTTTTCTGCTGCTCCAGAGAAGCGGACACGGAGCAATGGATCCAAACTACAAGAAAGAAGATTCCACCTAAACATTAGGGAGAACTTCCTTACAGTAAGAGCTGTTCGACAGTGGAATTTGCTGCCAAGGAGTGTGGTGGAGTCTCCTTCTTTGGAGGTCTTTAAGCAGAGGCTTGACAACCATATGTCAGGAGTGCTCTGATGGTGTTTCCTGCTTGGCAGGGGGTTGGACTCGATGGCCCTTGTGGTCTCTTCCAACTCTATGATTCTATGATTCTATGAACTAGCAAAGGCAATGATGTAGAAGTGGCCTTTATCCAGTGACCCAAATCACACTGACCCAACTTTATTTATGTTCGTGGGATTGATTTGAGATCCCAGCCACACAGAATCCTCAGATATCATGAAATTCTCTGGCCTGAAAACTTAATCTTACTTTGTGTAATCCACAGCATTTTGCCTACATAAAAGTTATTATGGTTACTAATGCCACTGGGCTGGAGGAGACTCTTGAGAGTCCCTTGGACTGCAAGAAGATCAAACCGATCCATTCTTAAGGAAATCAGCCCTGAGTGCTCACTGGAAGGACAGATCCTGAAGCTGAGGTTCCAATACTTTGGCCACCTCATGAGAAGAGAAGACTCCCTGGAAAAGACCCTGATGCTGGGAAAGATGGAGGGCACAAGGAGAAGGGGACGACAGAGGACGAGATGGTTGGACAGTGTTCTCGAAGCTACCAGCATGAGTTTGACCAAACTGCGGGAGGCAGTGGAAGACAGGAGTGCCTGGCGTGCTCTGGTCCATGGGGTCATGAAGAGTCAGACACGACTAAACAACTAAACAACAACAATGCCACTGGGACATTCGGAAGAAGTACAAAATTATAACATGTGCACTATCTACTCTTCCAAAGTTAGTAGAACACCCCTCCCACGTCATACACTTCTCTCCCCAACTCAGGCTGGTTTTAACAAGTGTCACGAACACATCTCCCAACGCTTCTTGATCCGGCATCATAAACCTGCCCATATTTCAGAAGGTGAGCCTCAAAATGTGGTTGCAGCTGCCACCGCAAACTTTTAAACAACAGATCACAGAGGAATTACAAGCCCTCAAACTGCAATGAACCACATGCCAAAACAACATCTTGGCTGGAAAAACAAAGATGTAAGAGTGACATCAATATCCAAACCCATCATTGTGTTGGGCTACCCGCATCAAACACAATCAGCAGTCATTAAAAGGGCAGGAAAAGCCTCAGTGGGTAACAGCATTTCCTTTCCCTTGTTGTTGCCACCGATTTTAAAGAGACTTCAAGATGCAGTTAACATGATTTAGAGCCCTCTCTGTTAAATCTACATGAGTCATATTTCCTAGTGCCAGCAGCTGTGTTAGTCATCGGTGACCAAAGATGTGTGATGTACAATGGCAAGAACATGTTGGGAATGAGTAGGAAACACCCAGGATCGAAACCCTATACACTAGGCGCTGCAATTCTGCTACAACAGAATGCTGATGAGGACAGACCCGGCAGCTTCAGAACCAGAATCAAGCAGTCACCTATACAGGAAACACCTACTTCCTCTCACTGGCGAAATCAAATTAAACGTAGCATTTAGAACATTAGACTGAAATCAGATGGCTTTGGATAAGTTACCAACTCGCAGCTGGTGATACTTCTTGGTAAAACAAAACCAGGAAAAAAAGGAGTTATGACTTACCTCACAAGATCAGCGGGACGCTGGAGGAGGTTAAAGAACAGAGCACACATGGGGACAAACATTTCTATAAAAATGGAGAACAATTGGAATCCTCATTGCGTGTGCTTTTACTAAAATGTAAGACGTCTGACCTCTAGGAGCACCTGTTAGTAAAACTGTAGGTAAAAATAGTGTGGAAACAGACAAAATCCTTTATTATTTACTATGAATATCTTTATCAATCTCACTGAGTCTATAACAAAAGCTACTGGCCAATTCTATAAGCTTTTGCAAGAATTACGTACTCATTAGACCTTTAGTACCCTATTTCTAAGCAAGTATTTTGTTCTTCTCTAACACTGTGTGCTTTATTTTATTGAAGGTTAACTGCCACATCCCTTGCCTGTTGTTTTGTCTGGCTAGAGCTGTGAACTTGAAATGATAAGGCATTCCTTCCAATAAACCTCTAGAACTACATGTACTAACGATTTGCTGCTGCCCAGTTAACTCCACGGATAGCTCCGTTGGTTAGAGCATGGTGCTGATAATGCCAAGGTTGCAGGTTCAATCCCATATGGGGAATTTGCGTATTCCTACATTGCAGGGGATTGGACTAGATGATCCTCAGGGTCCCTTCCAGTTCTACAGTTCTGGGATTCTATGGCACATAAAACATTTATCAAGTCCTTCTGCTTTGGAGCAGCCTGTAGTAGCTGTCTGAATAACCTGTTTGCAAAAGACAGGAGTTCCAGGGTCTCCTTGCACGTTTTCATTGACTAGGCCTGGACACACTGCAATTTCTCAGCTTCAAGTTTACCATTTGTAAAGTGGAAGCAACAAGTACCTACCTCACCATGACATATTTATTGCACTTCACATATGCTTTAAAAGAACTGAAACACTTGTCTTTTTTTGCCAAATGCGATGAGCTGAAGTCTTGAGAATTGCTCCAGATATCTTTTTTCCACTATCTTCTGAAAAGCAAATGGCAGCCAACTAGAGGAATTTCTTCTAGCAGATCCATCATCAAATCGGTAGAATTGGTACTCGTTGTTTACTGCTTTTATTTCATTTTTTAAAAACAGAAGAATAAACTGCAATTCATTTTAATTACAGCACATATCCACAGTTCATCATCTAAGAAGGTGCTTGGAATGAATCTGTTCTAGTATTTGTTTTCAAAATATTTGTTTGCAAAGTCTTTTGTGATTTTACTCTATCCGGTTCAACTGCAGGCATTAAAAAAGGCCCAAGGATGCTATCAGAGGGAAAGGAAGCACGGCTATGTTCACGCAAAAGGAAATCCCCCCCTAGCTCCTGTTTGTGACAGCAATTGTGGCTGCATACACATCTCATGTTTAAAGCATATCTTGATAAACTGTAGTTTACCCCTCATAGAATTACAACCCCCAGCACCCTCAACAAGTCACAGTTCTCAAGATTCTGTTTTGGGGGGTGGGGAGGAAATGTGCTTTAAATGTGTGGCGTGTACACAGTTCCTGAAGAGTTGCTGGATGCCCCTATGTGCTTTCTCTTTTCATAGCTCCAGATCAGCAGGAAACACTGCTTCAACTAAGCAGGCGTGGGAATGTAGGCCAGGAGGAAACACAAGAGAGACTGGCGTCACACAACTGCAAAGCAATATAGCCAAATGAATATAGCACGGAGGATGGCAGTGGAGAGAAACACTTTGCACTTCTATTGATTAGATGGACAAGAAATAAATCACCTTCAGCAAATGTGGTTTACATCCACAGCACATTTCAAACAGTAAAAATCACCTCCCACTTGGGGTATTTAATAAGATTTTGACAGGCAACAGCCACTGAGTAGAGCTGACTAACCATGGTTGTGCACGTTGTGTGAAATACCCTTTAAACAAGATTGCTTAGCCTGGAAGATGATGACAAGGGAATCATTGGTATGACACAGACCTTTAAAAATACCAGCGCCAGTATTATTTACAAGTAGCCTTTGTGCAAACAGTGGGTCCGAGCATGAGCAGATTTTAAATCCCTGCATTACAATTCTGGTGGTAGCTTATGAAATATAAGACACACCGTAAATATATGTCTGCTAAAATTACTTCATAACATGCAGCATAAATTTTAAAATTTCTTAGCTGGGCCAGATGTTCAAATAAACACCAAACACTACAAAGTTTAACCAACATGGTTCTATTTAAAAACTAGTTTCAACCATGGCACTCAGTGACAGCAATACAATACTTTCTTCACAAAGTGATGAATATAAAAATATGCCATAAATTCATTTGTAAACTAGTATTCTAATACATGTATGTCATTACAACATACCTTTATATATATATTTATATATATAACTCTTTCCTGAGATACTTAGGGTGGTTTTCATTTTATTGTGTTGGATGCATTATCTTTGATCACTTTAAAATACTGGTGCAAGTGGGAACAACCAAAATTATACATTTAAAGTAATTAATGCAAAGATTGGGCAGAGGAACAGCTCTTACACATGTTGCACTTTGAAAAGATGGAACAGACACTGCCTTAACCATTTGACTCTTTCTGGATCAGAAAGACACCTGAAGTTTCAATTAAGAATCTACAAAAATGCAGCGTTTCAGGAATGTTAGAGGCTGGAGTAGAAGACAAATGATACAAAGGAAAAGTCATAATTCTTGTTGACTAGACATTGCCTGCAGAAGCATCTGTACATGCTGTAGCCAGTTCACAGTTTCAGTATTGATACTAGTCTGTCTTGGAAGAGCAAATGTCTTTTAAGGTTTCTAGCTCTTCTATAAGTTTCTTGTTTTGAACTTCTAACATCGCAACACGACTCTCCAGACATTTCACATATTCTTTCTTCCGCCGTCGACATTCTTTTGCAGCCTCCCTGAAAAAAGCAGAAGTAAAAAGGGCAAACAAAAACACTTTTTGGCATGCTACTGGAGTGGCGGGAGCAGGGAGGGGACAGGGGAACGCAGTGATGATGGTCAATATAAGATGGACACCATTATGCTTTCCAAAATTTAGAACAACTTTTCAAAAACACCTAAGGACAACTGGGATTGCAAGGGCAACACACTGTCCCTTCCTCAAGGGCCACATGGCAATCTGTAGAATTGCTTCATCTCATGCCTTGATTAGCATTTTTAGCAAAAAAAAAAAAAAAAAAGGTCCATTGCCCATTGCCAGTTACTCTGCTTTATGGCAATAAAGATCTTTGAGGGCCTTGAGTTCCTCAATGAGAGTCTTGTTTTGGTTCTCAAGCACAGCCACGCGATTTTCAAGACATTTGACATACTCCTTCTTCTTCCTGCGACACTCACGAGCAGCTTCCCTGGAACCAACACAAGGCAAATGACTATAGGAAAAGGCACAGCACAATGACAACCAGGATTAAAAAAAAAGAACCTCCAGCACCAGAAAAGCTGAAATCAGCAAGTGCCAAATTGGTAAACTGTACAACAATCACACCACCAATTCTACAGACAATGCAGAGCAGCGGGAAAAGCTTGATGATAAACACAGGAACAGCGTCAACGTAGCATATTCAGAGTGAGAAAATTGCAACACAGATGGATGGACAGCGTTCTATTCAGATGTTAACAAAGCACCGCTTGCTACATCAAAACTCGCATTAGAACAAAAAGCACAGGACTGACAAACATCCCACCTCATCTGTTTCCATAATTTGCCATATTCGCATGCATAAACAGGGGGCTGAAGCCTACGTCTGCCAAAATGTTATCAACTAAACTGTCTGCAAAGATCAATGTCATGCTTTCTCTTCAGACTGAAGTCTAGATACCAGACTGAAATTTTGCCCCTCAAAATCCTGTTTTGGGCAAAAGGTCAAATCAGTTATAAAGGCATTAAAAGGAACCCGAATGGGTTTGCACTTCGGATCTTAAGTTTTAAAATAACTATTATAGCTTATCTCTTAAGAGCGTCCAAAGCACTGTGTGATGTGCTGCATCTTAGCCCTACCTGCAACTCAGAGCATGACTTGCCTGACTCCCTAGTAAGTTCATGGCTGAGCAGACCAGCTGGAGGTTTACTAGCTACAGTTCAAATTATAAGCCACTTTACTATACCAGCTATGGCCAAATGACAGGAACAGCATTTAAACAAACGTGTTGTGCTCTTTACAAAGGAAGGGAAAGTCCATCCCTTCCATCGAAGGTGTATACAATAAGATCCAGCTCTTCTTTAGGTAAATATGGGAACCTTCCATCTTGGATTTGCTGTTATGGGCACATTTTTTCATACTATTTTGGGCACTCGGTTAACAATCTGAAGCGTCTTCTCTCCTCCTCTGAGACTCAAAACAGCTTAACTGAAGCATGTTTGAAAGTCACCTATGTGAACAGCTCTGAGAACATTTTTGTTGTTGTTGAAAAGCAGTATATAAATATTGTAAATAAGCCCAAACAAGCAACAGTGAGAAGCTTTCAGCCATGCCATCAGCTATCAACTTGTGTTAATTCACCTAAAAGCTAGGGAGATTTTATAGGGTGGGATCCACCCTTTTCTTTGTAGGGTTCACGAACAAAAGGCACTTCTGCTTGCACGTGGGGGTGGGCAAGATTTCCCCCTAGAAACATCTGCACACTCAAGCTGGGATCCTACTAGCTATTTATTTATACAGAAAGAAAGAAAGTACACCTTAAGAAAAATTGGTGTGTGTTGTGTTAATTGGTGTAACACATGTGTTACTGATGGCAGACACAAGGCTAAACCTGGTAAGAGAATGAAAGAGAAAAAGAGAGCGCAAACATCTGGAATCTAAGGCATGAATTTTTATGGATGAGCAACTTAAGACAAAGGGCATGAGAAAAAGCAATACCATGGATGCAGTGAGCAATGGCAGGGTTAGTTGCAATTGAGACAACTTTTCCTACAAAGCGCATGCCAACAGCAGACATTAATAGCAGAGGTCATGCACTGACACCAAAAACAAGACACACAAATAGCACAATTAAGCTGACCACCACCACAAAAGGGGGGAGGGGAGACATCCCACAGCAATTTTTTTTTTTTGCTGTAACAGACACGAAATCAGCTGATGGGAAGTTAACAGAATACCCCTCAAATTAAGCAAAACACTTCCACCCTTCCTTTATAGAAGCAGATGCTACACTGAAATTGCCTGCCTCAAAATCAGAAACACTGGCAATAAGAGAAATGCATAAATATAACCTCTCACCACATCTACACCATATATAGTTGTATAATATATGAAAATACTGAATATAGCATTTCATAAGCTATAGATCTTAAGGGGGAGAACTCTACAAAACACTCAATAATATGCATTGCCAAAAGCCACCAGTGTGTGAGGGAGGTCCAGAGGGTGACAAAGACAGAATGGGCCTTCTCTGTCGTAGCCCCTTGTTTATGGAATGCTCTCCCTGTGTTCATACAATTCTGTTATTTTATATTTTACTTGGTTGTAAATCGCTTCAGGACTTCTTCAGCGGGGAGCAATACATAAATTCAATAACCTACCTTTACTTTAACCTCCTATCTCCCCTCAGGAACTATAAAGCAAAGGTAATCTAAGCTTTCCATGATCTCATAAGGAATTTCAGGAGGTTTGTTGCCATTTATATCCCCATAGCAAGTGAAGGAATTGTGTTTTTTTTCTATTTGGATAGTCGCCAGGTTGGTGGACTTAGAAACCTGCACAGACTAGGCTGACTCTTGTCCCAAACAGCCACAGCCTGTTTCAAATCCGCTACCACATGAAGTGGTGGAAGTTTGGCTGTTCGGCCTTTGGAGAACAGTTGTTCTAAAGCAGCTTTTTTCAACCTGGGGTCCTCCAAATTTGTTGGACTACAACTCTCACGATCCCCAGACAGCGTGGCCATGCTTGCTAGAGCTGATGGGAGTTGTAGGCCAAACATCTGGGGGGGCACCAGACTGAGGAACCCTGCTTTAAAAGCCACAGAGATTCAGTAATGCAACTGTATAGTATTCAACGGCAAAGGTCATCAGCAATAAAGAGAGAAGGCATTGCCCTCTTCTCCCCAGTAAATTACGTGGAAAAACCCACTGGCCAATTTTATCTTTGGGAAAATGTTCCTTAGCAACTATACTGATTTACCACCCCCATCTTTCCTGTCATCAGCTCTTGAAAGTAAATTCAACTCATTGCTTTTTCTTGAAATAGCAATACCTATTTTTCATGAGCCTTAGCTCTCTTTTACGCGTTGCTTCTTCTGCGAGCTGCTGTGGGCTATGCAACGTTCCTGGGGATGCTGCCATGACTACCCCTTGAGGTAAGGCTGTGGTTGGAGTTCGGATCTGGTAAGTTGGCATGTCACCTGTAGCAGCTGTGACAAAAGAAGAAAATGACACAAAAGAAATGTCACACAGTTCCATGATCTAAAACGTTGGTTAGCATGTTGGTTTCGAATACCAGGAAGAACTTAATTCACATTCTGTGACCAGTGCATTAGATTTGGGGTGGGGGGGTGGAGAGGAGGTTCTCCCATTGTCCCACCACTGCAGTGTCACAGATAGGGCCTTCTCAGTTGTTGGCGCCCCAGTTACGGAATGCCTTTCCCCAGGCACAAAAGTTTTGACATTTCAGCACCTGGCTAAGATCTGCTTTTTTGCCCAAGCAGTTTGGGGATATTAGTCTGCTGCTGAAGTTCATTTTGGTAGTTTAAACTTGGTATTTTTACCTGATCTTTATTTACTTAATATGGATGTGGTGGTGGTGTTATTTTAAAGTTATACCCTGAGATCTGTGGATGATGGACAGCCTAAAAATGCTCATACAGATAAGATGCAGACAAGAACGTTCTCCGTCTATTCAAGTGCAAACAGAACAAAAAGTGCATTGTTTACTGCAGAGAAAACCAGCAACACAGAAATGTTCAAAGGTCTAAAAAGCACTACAAACATGTTTTCTTATAAAACAAAGACAATCAAAAACTAAGATGCCCAGGAAAATAAAAAGGTGGGATGGACAATACCACAATGTAGATGTGAAGTGAGCTTTTCTGAAGAAGGCATCGTACAGCTGGGAAGCCACTACAGTGGTACCTCTGGATACGAATGGGATCCGTTCTGGAGCCCCGTTCGCATCCAGAAGCAAACGTAACTAGCGACAGCACGTCTGCGCACGCGCACGCGGCTTTTCAACGCTTCTGTGCATGCGCGTGACGTCATTTTGAGCGTCTGCGCATGCACGAGTGGCGAAACCCGGAAGTAACGCACTCCGTTACTTCTGGGTTGTTGTGGAGCACAACTCAAACGTGCTCAACATGAAGCATATTCAACCCGAGGTATGACTGTATTGAAAAAGCTCTCTCCTTAGCAGCTAGGAGACATTTCTCCATCTCTGTGACAAAGTGTTGGGACTTTATACTATACTCTACATAGGGCTTATCACACTATAGATGTGACTTAATTTATAAGCAATAGCAAAAATTGCTGTAAACCACTCTGGTATTTTTTTATAAATATTTCCATAAATATAAATAAATAAAAACAATCAAAAGAGAAACCATAGAATTGTAGAGTTGGAAGGGACCGCAAGGGTTATCTAGTACAACCCCCTGCAACTGAAGAAATCTTTTGTTCAACATGGGTCTTGAACCCACCATCCTAAGATTAAGAGTCTCATGCTCTACCAAATAAGTTACCTAATCAGTGGGCAACTAAGTTCCTCAAGCCCTGGCAGGCCACTATATATAGCTGTTGGAGGCCATTTTCAGCCAGGGTCACATATTTTGCAGGCCTATTTTGAGAGGTACCAGCAATCAGTAACTCCAGAAAACACAGGGATTTTTAAACAGAATTTTAACAGGGCCTTCAAGACCTCACATGTAGGAAGCAAGAACCTCAGGTCAGCCTAGGTCTGTCCAGACAGATGGATGCTCTCTTGATCTCTCGAAGCCAATGATCACAGAAAGTGGGATGGGCTGCCAAAGTGGCAGATTTTGCTTGGGCTCTACCTCACTTTTGCTAAACATAGTTAATAGCTAAATGCAAGTAAATATCAAAAAGTACATTTTCTTCCTTCTGTCCTTTAACAGAACAAATGTCAATGCAGCCAGATAAATTCTGCAATTATTATATATTGAATCTGTTGTCATGGTGACCACTACCAAGCAATGTCCAATATTGTTCTTTGTAAAGTATGGGGAAGTAGGAGGAAAAAGCAGTAGGACAGATAAAAGAGATAATATTCTAATGAATGTCTTACCCTGCTAGTCCTTCTTCAGGGAATTTCAGGGACATAAAGACTGAACATTTAGATGTGCTGTCCATAGCTGTCAACTTTTCCCTTTTCTTGTGAGGAATCCTATTCGGAATAAGGGAATTTCCCTTAAAAAAAGGGAAACGTTGACAGCTATGGTGCTGTCTCTTCCTATGGTCATAAGAAAAGCATTTTGGGGAGCAGGAATCTCATTCACCCTATTGTTTTTTTTGCTCCTACTTCCATTTCGGGGGGGGGGTGTCTGTTTTTGTTGCAGTTTGTAAAGTATTTACAAATATCAGCAATAAGTATATGAATGGCCGCTGCTGTAATTATTATTATTTATTAAATTTATCAGGCTGCAGTCTGGTAGCTTTACACAGGTAGGGATTAATGTTCCAGTCAGTGATATCATTCTTCCTCTGCTCCCACCCCCCACCATATTATGAAGTTTTGACACTGCTGACTATTAACATTTTAAATTCCCGTGTGAGAAAAGTGGCTTTAAAACAGCATGCAAAAATGCAGAAGTAAACAGATGCTATTCTGATATTATGTGAGCTGCTTTGAGGGTGTTGTTGTTTTTTTCCCAATCAAACAGTGTATAAATTTTATGAAGTAAATAAATAAATTTCCAAAAATGTATACACTGTTCAACTTTTGCCAAGTTTCAATTTGAGAAAAGCACAACAGCCATTGTGTCATTGTTCCCCTTTACCCTTACCGCAACCTGGAACCTATTTGGACATTGCATGGTGTCATTTAATCAAGCTTTGCTTACAGAACTCCACCTCAAGACTGAAACAAACTGGAGAACTCTGGTCTTGTCCATTATTCCAAACTTGTCCCCCCCCCCATGCTCCCCCATACATACCCCTTTTTGTAATTTTAACATCCAGAAAAAATATTGAGAACTCCAAAGCTTCTCCATTACTCTGAGACATTTTACTTGGCCCTAATATATATTTTTTTACTCAACTGTGTCTTCTGGATTTTTGCCCACCCCACCCTCCCAGGTATCAATATGGCTATCTGCAATGTTTATATCTGTTACTGTTTTTTTGCTATATAAATTGAACTGGGGAGGGGGGTGAATCCAGGTTTCATTCTGTAACTAAACAATAATTCATAAAATAACCAAATATCCTGTGGTACAAAAACTGTAAGTGCAAGGAATCATCAGTCCGCTCCTGACTCCCACCACAAATATTATTTTTTTTTAAAAACCAGCCACTCAGTACTGGCAAGCAGAACCAGGCATGCTACATATAACAGAAATATGAGTTTCACCCACACTCCCCTCCACACACGGCTAGCAACCTTTACCACAAGGATTATAAACTTCGTGCAAGTCTGCTGCACTGTTCCTGGTCCTTTGGCTCATGTGAGCCTGAGGTCTTTTAATTCTATTATTTAAAGAAAATATCCAGTTGGATCAGCAAACAAACAAAAGACACACAAGCCAGGCTTACTTAGCTCCAGAGACAGCATGCAGGCTACTGAATTAACGCTGTAACAAACATGCCAGCGGCGGCGGCAGCACTGGTTGAAGCAGAAAGGAACTGACTAAATCACAGCATGACTCGCAGCTGACGTCAATGTGTTTGTTGTTTGTGGAGTTTAACTTTTCCAGCCCCGCTGAAACGCGATTCCAGGAAATCTATCTGACGTCAGCCTGCTGAACTCTGCTGTGGAACAGGCAGTTTTTCGAGTGGAGGAGGCGCAAAATAACTAAATCATAAAGCCCAAAGCACTGCTGGAGCACCCACGCGGGTCACTCAGATTTCATTTCTGCTCTTTATTACCTGTCAGAGATGGAAGACCGATTACATGGCTGAAGTGAGCACAGTCCACACAACTACACACTGGCTGCCGGAAGCTGAAGAAGCAAGCTTTCATATACTTCCAAGCTGTTTAATCATTCTAAAAAAGCACCAAGGGAGACAAGTTCCTTGTTCTCACTGCTTAAATAAAAGGATTGCTTCAAAGCTCACGTTAGCAAGGAAAAACAGCACAAGAACTGAAAGAGCACCCATCGGTCTAACTAACTAAAATGCTGCATCAGCTAAAGAAATGTTAATGACAGCTTCCAGGAGTCTATAAAAAAAAATGTGCTTGGTAACTAAGTGCTCTAGTCCAGCAACACTGTCGCTGGGTGTTCTAGCAAACAATTCCCCCCGCTTGCAGTTTGGCTGCCTAAATCGCACAGATTCCATGGGATTTCAGCAGCCCAGCTGTGAGCAGGTCTACAGCCCCAATTTCCCCTTTCGAAAAAGAAGCTTACAGAATTGCCTACCGGTTTCGTCTCTGGTTACAGCCATGGCCAGCGTCTGCTCAAAGGCTTCTCCTCTGCCACCAGCAGAACATGAAATGTTCCAAACAAGCAAGCATGTGCAGGATTACAAGCTCCAGCACTGACATCATAATGACCTCACTAGCCTACCCCGTCATTAATGTGCTTTCTCACTGGAACAGCTCGTTGAAACAGGAGCCCAGGGAAAACCTTTGCTAACAAACAATCACTTCAGACTTTTTATATAGCCTAGCTTCGCTCTCCCCGCAATACAAAGGCAGGCACAGATCCAGGGAGCCGGCTATAAATCAGGCTCCACAGACACATCTGCAGCAAGGGCAGATGTTATTTCGGTGCCAACGCTTTTCAAAATAAAGGTTCTGAAAACTGTACTTTAAACAATAATGCAATTCAGTATCTGTATGAATTAAAAGTTGGCAAGCCAGAATAGAACTGTTTCGTACCATGTTGACTTTTGTGGCATACTAGACAGTCAAGACACGGTAAGAGGAGCCCTCCTGCTTCATGATGATGACAACTTAACATTTACTAAAACACCTACATTTCTCCAAGCACTATACATATATTAAAAGATGAAACAGCCCCTGCTCAGAGTCTAATAGACGTGATACAAAAGGGGAAAGGAAAGGGGAGGGAAGAGGAAAGGAAGCTTCTTCACTAGCTAGTGGAAAGAGTCAGGTTGGTCTCCTTTTTGTCCTAATTTTCTACCTGGGAGGCAGGGGAAGCAGCCTCCCAGTTGGTCCTAAGTCACCTAGCTAGTGACAGAGGCTAGAGTGTGCCTTCTTTCAGCTCTGCAAAACCAGGTAACAGAGCAAAGATTGTCAAGTTCAGCATCCTGTTCCTCACATTGACTAACCAGATATCCCACAATCAAGACATAAAGGCAATATCCTCTGTGGACTGCTGTTTCCCTGCAACAGACATTCAGAGGCACAGTACCTCTGACCCTCGGGGCAGTATGTTCTTACCTTTATCCTCACTTCTGAGCAAGCATGAATATAAACCCACCCGAATAACTTTTCCATTGCTATTTATCTACTTTTCATGCATTGCCACCCTGCCTTTCAAGGCATGTTGCCCTCGGCAAACTTGCACATGATAAAAATTGCACAGCTCTTGGTAACTACTAAGAGACAAAAAAGATGATGTGGATTTTCTCCAAACCCATCAGTTCACACTAACCTCTCATAAATATTTTCCTGCAGATTTTGTGGCTGATAGGAATTTCTTCTTGTCTCCAACAGCCATGTTGTGAGCCTCTCCCATTTCTGTACATAGACTCTTTCCAGCATCAAGGCAAACAACTATTATAGGGACTCCATTGAAGAATGTTACGGGGCAATAACCACTTGTATATAAACTACTTGGAGTAAGAGGCTCTCATATGCAGTTTTAGGAACCAGAGTTCCATTCAGCCTCTGGTGTGATGACAATGGAGTGCAATCACAGGAGTCACCAAATGTATATGGTTGTTGCTATAAAAAGTATCATGCATATTTCGGTCCTCAGCATGGAACAGAAGCAGCAGCAAAGGAACAGAAGTGCTTTAGTACAGGGTAGGCAGAAGATAGATTGGGATCTACAGGTAAATCACTGGGTTTTCAGTGGATCAGCAGGAGCTTTAGACTCCCAGAGGTTTAGCACTAGCAACAACTAGAAGGCTCTCACACACACAATTAGCTTGCTGAAATGAAGAAAGCTTGTGGGGAAAGCAGGAATGGATTTGTGTGAGAAAGCGCTGCAACATCAGTGAGAACAAATGCCTTGGCTGAGCAGCAATTCTAAGTGTGCGGAAGTCCCCCTGTGCCATCATTCTGATCTGGCTCTGGTTGGTAGATCTGGAGGTTATAGTCAAAATCAAATTAGTTCCATTGAGCCTGAAGTCTGTCCACCCCTGGCTTAGTTTCCACGTCACTGAAGAGGCAACACAAGAGTGCAAAAGGAAAGTACTCCAGTGCTGAAGTTAATGTAAGAGGTGCCTTTGCTTTGTTGTGTAAATGTCCACCCAGGTGTATTTTCAGAAACCCTCTGTTATGTACTGAGTTGAATAGGATCCAAAATGCAGCAGTCTGATTGGTCCTAGAACAATAGGATCCAAAATGCAGCAGTCTGATTGGTCCTAGAACAATGCAGCAGTATGATTGGTCCGCAGGAGCCACCCAATCCAGCTCCAGGTGGAAGTGAATCCACAACCTGATTGGCCTATGGAAAATCCCGGAATTAGCCAATCATGTGCAGCCCATTGTGTAAATAATGTATATAAAGCAGATATTTTGGGGGAACTTCCATTCCTCCTCACTACTATGAGCTGAATAAAGAGCATGGAATCCACTCTCGACTCCAACTATATTTCACCCTCATATCCTCTCTCTCAACCTCCTTCCTATTTTGCTCAACAGGCCTGGTTTACTCTGTGCACAAGAGAAGTTAGCAATCTCTTTTCATTATTGTAGCAGCTTTCCAGGTAGTGTTCACAAAGTGGCTGCTTATCATGGTTTATTGCAAACAGGATTTATTGTCTGATGGCTCCTACTTCACTCCTCCTCCCCGGTGGGATAAACAAACCAGAACGTCATAATTAAGCTCAGCTTTCCATGAGGTCTAGACCTCAGATCATTGTTTCTTCCTACCTACCAAGCCAGTATTGCTAACCAGACTAAAACTGTTGGTTTAGGAGTACTGGCTAGTTGGGGAGCAAGCCACAATCCTGGGTTTGGATGTTACAGGAAGTCAGTCATAATTGTTGGCTTCCTGGTTTGTTTATCCTGCTTGCATCAGGGAAGGAGAGAAGTGGGTGTAATTTGACAGTGTTCAACAGCACACTTCCCTTTCCTAGCAAACCATAATAACCCAGCAACACTGGTTTATTGTGACCTGTCAACTGAGGCAGCTGTAGTCCGAGCCATTTCCTTTGGGGAAACTGGTAACTAAATGAGATTAGAATTAAATGAGATTACCACTTTTGAACACAACTTTTACCTGGCACCTTCATTATATATCTTTAAGCACCAGACAAGAACATTCCTCTTATCCCAGGCCTTTGGCTAATTAAACAATCTATGGCTTTTTAAGCTGGAGGGGGGTTGTTTTTGTTTGTTTTTGTGTTATGTATTTTTTCCATGTTTATATTGTAAACCACCCTGTGATCCTCAGATGAAAGGCGGTATAGAAATTTAATTACTTAATAATAATAGAATACTCTTGACCCTGCTTCTTTGTGGCTTCACACTAGCATCTTAGGATCATCTTGCAGTTTATTGTTATGTCTAAGACTAAGAAACATTTAATCTAATTCCTACTCACACATCATCCATTGTACATAAGCAACACACAGTAGTATAGCATGACAGAATGTGCCCTTGTCACCATAAGCTGGGCACAATGTGTAGCTGAAGAGTATGTGGCTATTTTATTTATTAACAAAATTTATATACTACTTGCTTGTAACAAAATCGAAACAACAACAATTTGCAAATCTCTCTCATTTTGCCTGGTAAAGATCACAGATTATCAGACTTCTGTGTATTATGTGCTTCATCTCTGGACATTACATCCAAGGCAAGGAGGCATAAGAACCTACTACTTCAGAGTGCATTAAGTTATATGCAAATTTGCCAACCTCTAAAGAGAGCTTGAATTTCGCAGACTCTTGACTTTTAAATGTGGTACTTGAGTTGAAGTTACCAACTGTTCTACCATCTACATTAAAACAAACCCTTCTTTCATGTCTATTAGAGGAAAGGCAGAAAGTAAAGTGCAAGAGACTTTTTCAAAGCAAGAAGAGGATTATAAAGGGAACAAGTTACTCCCTGGCATAGCATCCAAAAGACCACAGAAACAACCCTTGTGTCCTAGTAAAGGTATACATCAAAAAGGAACAAAAATAAGACTTTCCAATGCAGGACCTCCTGTCCTGCAGGAGCCACTCACACAGTGAAAAGGCCAACATTGATCAAATTATATACAGAAATACATTGCACCCACCTCAACATTTCAGACTAAGTTACTGTATCATCCATTTATCCAAGAATCCATGCTATGTAAGTACACTGCTTCATTAAACTTTATTTTCATGTTTGTAAGTTCATCATTAAATATTTTACCTTAACTCTGTCATTTTGTAGTTGTATTCTGTTAAGGGAAGAGGGTCTTTTCCATGTTTTTGTTTGTTATTTGCTGGCTACTTATAGCCCACTTTTCTGTTGAAAAATCTATTAAGAGTTCAAAACAAATAGAGACATACAAATGCCATTTAAAAGCAAATATAAAATGAAAGCATACCTTGGACAACAACTTGACTCCCAGGTACAAAGAACTGTTGTGTGCCATCAGCTGTTTGGGCTGCATATTGTACAATTGTAGCACCGGGCTGAGGAGCTCCTGAATTTGTCATTGTTAATGTCTGCAACCCCTGAACGCCGTCAGATGCCTGGTTAGAGATCTGGATTGCTCCACCTTGGGCTATAGCAACTTAACAAAAGCAATAATGGTATTAACCAATGGAAACAAGGGTCTTTGGAACAGCTCTAATCCAGCCATTCCTAAACTGTGTGTTGGGACACGTTAGTGCACCTTAAAAGAACTAGTAGTGTGCCATAAGAAATTAATAATGAAGAGCTCTTTTGAGGCTCTGCAACCAGTGCTTTCCAGTCAGTCTTCTTCTACAAATGCAGGCAACACTGCTGAGTCTTTGCATCAGGAGCAAGTGATTTCACCTGATACAGGCAAAGAACAGAATTACCTGTCCTCAGAAAAGGCCTCCCATTTCACCATTTCACCTCTGCAATTCTCTAATCCTTGTTATGCTATTTTCTCTCATATATATATATATACACACACACACACACACACACACACATAGTATTAAGAGTGTAGTACGCCTCCTGTGTTGATTTAGAAGAAAATAAGGGTGACTCAGCTATCAGAGGTTTAGGAAACACTGATCCAGTGTGTACCACCACTTTTGTAATTTGGATATAGTCTAACTCAGGAAAGGGGCGCTTGTAGCCCTTCAGATATATTTGGACTTCAACACTTATCTGCCCAAGCCAGCATGGTGAATGGACAGGAATTATGGGAACTAAAAATCTAGTAACACATTCCCCAACCCTGATCTAAGTCAACTTTGTATTGCCTCAAGGGATGCTTTGCCGTGCAGAGACGACTTTTATCAGTGAAATCTTGTACAACAGAAGACAGTAGAAAACAGCTGCATAAATTATATTTGAATTTTAAAAAGAGAAAAGAATACGAATAAGCTGTTAACTTTTCCTTACATGACCTGTTACAGTTTTCATAACAAAATGCTAGATTATAGGATATAGATTTTAGGTGTCAGAACAGGAACAACGCAATGCAAAGTTAAATGTTCCATTCTCAAGCATGACAAAACAACCTTTTAAATAAGTTCTCCATCACAGATATTTCAACTCTGCTCATACTTTACATGGAAGATATGCTTATTGAAGTTTTATATGTCACCATGTACAACTCTCTACTGCATTTTCCAGTCAATGCCAAGTTGTTGGCCTCTGCACTCTAAAGCAGAACAGTAAAAACTAGATTCTACACAAAATCCCCAAAGGGCACAAACTAGTGGGAACAACTTTTGTACAATTATTAGGATTTGGAGTGTTTCCTCCTTTAAGTCAAGGATGCTTAGTGCAGGATTAGTTCCCAGTGCACTGATGTCTAATTCTAAACTCATAAAAAAAATTGCAAGTTGCATTTCTTTTATCTTAAGGACTGTATTTATGGAAGAAAATTGTACAAACTTCCTTGTGTACCCTAGCTTCCAGTTATATAATGAAATACATTGATTGGAAGCAACACACATTAAAGAGCATAAGATTTGAAGAAACAGAATGGAACAAAGTGAGCAAAATTTAATTTTTGCTTATCAGATCATTACTGTAAATTATAAGAGATCTTTATTGATGTAAACATGAATTTCACTTGGGTTTTAATTGAGACTTTTTCTTGAATATTCCCCCCACTCTCCACAATAGATCTAGCTTACTAAGTTTGCAATTTACATTTGGGTTTTAAGGACGAAAGCTAAATATCTTGTTTGATGTTATGGGATACATACTGTACTGCCCGGTGCTAGTCTGATAAAGGCTCGTTGGCACTGCCATGGCAGGGATGCCAGAGGGCGCTCCTTCTTCCTCTGGCTTTCCTTCTTCAATCTTAGTGACACCGGGTGCATCAGAAGACAGTTCATTCAGAATTTTTCTGACACAAGTAAAAAAACATATACATTTAAAAGCAGCTGGCCCATGAAAGGAGTGACTCATTTTAACCGAAAGGCACCAATTGTTACAACACGAAATTATAGCTTACCGATATGAAGGCCTCCTTGAAAGTATCTCCCTCCGTTTCTGAGAATCAATGACAACCTCTGACTCTGTAGATTCATCTGCACTTGTAGCTGATGCTACCTAAAATATGAACATTAAAAAATTAACCATCTTAGGAGTCGACTCAGAAGAGTTAACTTGCAGCATGGAATCCAGATTTGCAGAGGAGATTTTACTACCAGTGATCCATCTCACAGGACTGTCATAAAACTGCTTTGAAAATTTAACAATGCTTTGTAAATTAAAGACAGCAGCACCAGCATCTAATGGTAAGGCTATTGATAGGGGTGACCCAGAGGGCTGAATCCTCAGGTGTTTTGCACTGGATCTTGGATTCCCTGCCTACATCACCCCTATTTTTTTTTTAAAAAAAGCACAACTTTTTAAAACCTTGCTTGCAGAGTTGCTGGACATACTTCAAATCACTGTGCTGGTCATATCCCCGATCACCTATTATTATTGGGTCGCACCCAAAGCAGTGCCAGAGGTGTTTTACCAACACAGTGCCAGATCTGTCTCCTCTCTTCCCCCCACTGTGATCTCCAAATTTTCTCCAGCGTGTCCCCCAGCTCTCCAGTGCCTATCTTGAGGCTGGGAAAGGGGGCGACAGCTGAGTAGAGGAATGAAAAGTTCTGTTCCTCTAGTGCATGTCTCTTCCATTAGCAGGAGTGTTGGATGCCATACTTGCTTCTATCTATTTATATATTAGCATATGCAATTTTTTTTTCATGAGCCTATACCCTGGTTATTTTAAGTACCTAGCAATGCCTCTAACAGCATATGCAAAATCTTGATCATGGAAGGAGGAAGCATCGAGGTGAATTAATGACAAACTAGAAACAGCTCTGCAGGTAGAAATGCATTTTTTCAGTAAATGGCAAATATATACCGTATCTTTGACGGGCAGCAGAGGAGAGGATAATCTACATATAATAGTATAAGAAGAGTGGGAGAAAGGAACAAAAGGGGGCTAGGAGCAGAACAGCTTGCAGGAATGCAGCTGGAGAGAGAGAAAAACATAGAGCATAATGCCAGAGAGCTTAAAAGGTAAATGCAAGAACAGGTATGTAATCTATCTAGGAGTACTCAATCCATCATTGTCGCTGGAGGCTTAAGTGACTGTGGTTGCTGGGAGTGCTTTACAATTGGATAATTTTGAAATGTGCTCTGTTGTGGCTGCCCTTACATTTGGTCCAGAAACTACACCAAGCAAAGGTAACACTAGTGCTGAAGGAACTACTGTACACTAAATATCACATCTATGCATGATTTTTTCCTAGCATATATGTCACAATTGGTGACATGCAGAGTTCCTGGCCACTGTATACCTTGCAATATTGTTAGATTATCCACACACAAAAAGAGGGGAAAAAACAGCAGCACATGGGCATAACAATGAGACAATCATTATGTATGTATAAGGTACAAGCCAACGTGCTCTGGTGTGAAGTAATCACTCTTTAAAGAAGCAGACAGAAGTATCGTCTTTATATTCTCCTGATGGCAGAATATGAGTCAACCGGCAGCCTACCCTTGGTATGAAATACAATGAAGCTCTTCTCTTCATTGCTAGGGCAAAAATTAGAAGTCAATGATGCCAAGTAAAGGTTAAGTAAAGCCTGCAGGAACGTTAAGAGAGATGCAACTAACCTGAACAGATTGCAACTGTGGTGATTGAATAACTGAAGGCTGAGTTGCTTGAATCACTCCCTGCACGTGGACCGTTTGACCAGAAGGCAATTGCACTACAGTTACAGAGGGAGATCCTCTTCCAGTTGTTGATCCCGCTACAGAAACCTATTGCATTGGTGAAAAATAACAGGAAGACATTAGCAGTGTGAGCACCTGCATACCAGTGATGATGATTTGGCAAAAGGTCTCCAGGGTGAAATTAAGGTTTAGCCTTTGAAACACGATGTGCTGTTTTCCAACAGAGTAAAAGTTATATCAGCTTATATCACTCTAGTTATTTCATCAAATTTATGCATTGCTTAATTGTAAAAAAGAGAGAGACTTTAGAGCAGTTTACCTAGAGAATAAAACAATAAAATTATCAGGAAAACCTGTTAAAAAACAACTATTTAAAATATTAAATGAAATAAAATCAGCAATAAGCCAAAAACAGATTAAAACACACATCAATATTCTACATGTCAGGGTAGACCTGCCTAAACAAAAATGTTTTTAGCAGGCACTGAAAAGAGAACAGTGAAGGCACCTGCCTGATGTCAATATATTACAATGACAGTTGGGCTTCCAATAGCAGGTGAAATATAATTCATACTTCTGCTTCTTGCTTCAGAAATGTAACACATAAAGTTCTGGCACATGGTACTTCACCCCAGTGAAAACTGAAAGAGCCTTTTTTGGTTGAAATGACAATGCAGTCCTATATTGTATAACTTTGATGGGGACAGAGAGGTAATAATTTTTGTAGTCCTTTTACAGCAATAGACAGTCTATTTGTGCAAGTTAATGATAAAAACCATTTTTAATTTTTTTCTTGTTTAAACACTACGTTGTGTATTGAACACAAAGAAGCTCTGAGACCCATTTTACAAATGAAGAACAGAAGAACTAGCAACTTGTCAAAAGGCGAGTCAGCAAGTCCATCATTTAATGTCAACTTGAAAGTGAATCTTCCCCATCTTAGTACAACATTTCATTCATGGAAATACTGTACGGGGGCTATTAGTGCACCAAGCAGCTGCTTATATTGAAGCTGCATAGGAAGAAAACTATGCCCAATGGTTTGCTCTATATGATATTGTAATGCTAAATTACAATATTTGAAAAAGTTCGTGCCAAAAGTGCCCAGTGTATTCATTTTGGGATGTAAGGTAAAGGTAAAGGGGACCCCTGACCATTAGGTCCAGTCGTGACCGACTCTGGGGTTGTGACGCTCATCTTGCTTTATTGGCCGAGGGAGCCGGCATACAGCTTCCGGGTCATGTGGCCAGCATTACTAAGCTGATTCTGGCGAACCAAAGCAGCGCACGGAAACGCCGTTTACCTTCCCGCCGGAGCGGTACCTATTTATCTACTTGCACTTTGATGTGCTTTTGAACTGCTAGGTTGGCAGGAGCAGGGACGAGCAACGGGCGCTCACCCCGTCACGGGGATTCAAACCGCCGACCTTCTGATCGGCAAATCCTAGGCTCTATGGTTTAACCCACAGCGCCACCCGCGTCCCTCTTGGGATGTAAGACAAGCATATAAAGAACTGAGCATGAATCACAGGAAAAAGCCCTCTCTCTTGTAACTTACATGCACAATGAGAAGTACTAAAGGCACTTTTCAATTTCTTAAAATGGCTGGATAATATTTGAAAGTTTACAAGGAATCTCCCAAGCATCCTGTGCTTTTATTTTTTTGGATTTACAAAATTATTTCTCTAATGGTAAACTGACAGTACAATGAACAAGTTTAAATTATTTGAAAGATGCATTTGCTTCCTCCTCTGCTTTAGTTGCAATATTTTAAAACTGCACCCTTTCCAATTCTGACATTCACAAATGTTTGCTTGATTACTCATGTGGAGGTGGCAGCAGTTCTAGCAATCCTGACGTCAATAAGGAGAGGAACCAGCTATGGCACTTGCATTTGAATACGTGCAAAGACTCTATATTACTGGAAGCAGACAGTCTGCAGAACAATTTAGCAGACTGGGAAACAAAGTTTTATAGCACTGCACAGAGTAATTCCAGAAATGGTCAGAAACACACACACAATCAGCTCTTTCAGGGGCAATTTATTTCAGATAAATGGGTATTTTGCAGCTTCTACTGCATATGCGCAGTATTCCAGGCTTGTTAATGCTTAACTTCCAAAACTACACTTAATCCATTGTACAATATAGGCATTTAAATCCAGGTCAGACCCAGCCTCTATGGTATTTATTTAAAACTGGGGAAAGTCTCAAAGGTTTCATTATAAGCTTTAAAGAAATAAAATAGTATCATAATTGTTGGACTGGGGCTTAAGTTAGCTGAACTTAGGTTTGATAGATTTCAATGGAACCTAAATGCAATTAACCAAAATTATCCAACCCTTACCATTATATAGCACTTTTTAATTGTTCAGAGTATGCAGTGTATATATTGCAGCAATTCTTCCAACAACCCCGTAAAATAGGTTAGGATTATTATCCCCATAAGGCAGATTTGAGGTTGAACTCAAAACTGGCTGGTTTGGACTGCCTAGTATAGTCCATGGCTGAGATAATATTTCAAAATAGGGCCTTCCTGGCTCACAACTCATACAATACTAGCACTAAAAACCAGAGACAAATAATACATGTGACTTGAAGAAGAAGAAGAAGAAGAAGAAGAAGAAGAAGAGTTTGGATTTGATATCCCGCCTTTCACTCCCTTTAAGGAGTCTCAAAGCGGCTAACATTCTCCTTTCCCTTCCTCCCCCACAACAAACACTCTGTGAGGTGAGTGGGGCTGAGAGACTTCAGAGAAGTGTGACTAGCCCAAGGTCACCCAGCCGCTGCATGCGGAGGAGCGGAGACGCGAACCCGGTTCCCCAGATTACGAGACTACCGCTCTTAACCACTACACCACACTGGGGAGTTTGTGCTGCCAGAGTGAATGCTTTTTCATAAAAAGCCCTCCTGGACAGAAAAAAAAGCAGAAACATGATGAAAACAACATAGAGGCAGGTTACAGGCAAGGAGAGTCTGTCTCATCTCCTTGAATATCAATCCATGTCTGTCTTCTCAGTCCTTGCCCCCAAAGAAAACACCTGAGGACGAAAAGGTGCAACTTCACTGCATACAAAGGACAGTGGCCACGTTCCCAACAAGGCAGCCCCTCATGGCACAGATATTCCTAACACTGGCTTGGAATGGATGAAATAGCCACCTACTGCTAACCTAAGCCAGAGATGGAGTCCGTGTACTTGGGGGGTTCTGGACAAAACTGGATATGTAAGTAGAGATTTCACCATCATTTTACACATAGTTCATGCATTGCTTATGATCAGAATCCCAACTACTAGAAAGGCCTAAACCTATTTTTTACATTTTGCTCAGATATTTATCTCTGTACCCCATTCTATCCCAATCTATCCTCACAGGAACTCTGCAATGCAGACTAGGCTGAATGGCACAAGACCTTCCACTGAGCTAAGTGGGCTTTTGAACTGAGAGGTCCAACGTTGTATCGGCTTCCCCAAAGCCCAAAGTATGCAGGCAAGTCTTGCATTCTTCTACCTGCCTGCAGTAGCTAACTATATAGGTGTTGGTGTCAGGTTACATGTCAGATTACCTGTGCTATAGTAGATATCTGATTTTGGCCAGATGGAGACTGTATAGTAGCAGCATCACTTTCTGCAACAGAGTCTGCTGCATTGCCATCTTGCTGTGATTCACCTGTTTCCATGGTCATTTGTCTAAAAATGAGAGAAAAATGCACAAGATAGTACATGAAACAATTCATGCCTCTATCACCATTCACTTCATCTCTTCATTTTTGCCTTCTTTTTAATATGTGGTTAAATAAAGCATGACATCATAATATGATACCACAAGAGAGTTCCAGTGCATTTATCACCAGCTGAAAACCCAAATAAAGGAACACTACCTTTTGATATATGAATGTCCTCCCCATTATTTAAGACAGGGAACCTGTGGAGCCTGTGCCCCTTAAAATGTTGTTAGACTCCAACTCTCAGATTCAGCCAAAATTTCCAATGATCGGGGATAATGGGAGTTGCAGTCCAGTAATATCTGGAGGGCCATGGGTTCACCATCCCCACTTTAAGATTGGAGGACAAGGCCTTCCTCCATATGCCATTGTTTCAGGAATAAACAGCTTCTAGTGATCAGAGTAGGGAATTTCCAGAGGTGGCACTAGAACTGTGAAATGCTGTCCCCAGGGAGATTTGGTGGGCTGCATACAGTGCCATGTATTTCTTGTGTTTTTGTGTGTGGGTTGGTTGGTTAAGCTGAGTTTGCTTCTCGGTTGTTGCTTTTGAATTATTATTTCTTTGGGAAATGTTATTTATTTAAAGCTTTTTAGCACCCAAGTAGCATACAAATATAGTTACCGTATATTTTTAAAGAAGTTGGTGGGACTATACAGTTGCCCCCAAATACTGGAAGGGTATGTGGGTTGTATTAAGAGTATTGCTGCCTATAAGATTCTGTGGTCTCCTTTCAGACTATTACTGAATTGTTTACATCCTACAGAAGAATGGAACTTAGAACTTAGGTTGCAAACTAATTTACTTCAGCTAGAATACTGTTGGACAAATACTAGACTCCGGACCAATTGACACCAATACAATGGTATCTCTGGTTACGTACTTAATTCGTTCCAGAGGTCTGTTCTTAACCTGAAACCGTTCTTAACCTGAGGTACCACTTTAGCTAATGTGGCTCCCACTGACGCCGTATGATTTATGTTCTCATCCTAATGTAAAGTTCTTAACCCAAGGTACTACTTCCGGGTTAGCGGAGTCTGTAACCCGAAGTGTTTGTAACCCGAAGTGTTTGTAACCCGAGGTACCACTGTAGAGACGTAGCTGAGAAAAGTGGTGGATTAGTGAACGTTGTCAGCTTAAAATTATAAAAGACCCCAGGACAGCAGAATCAGCCCAAGCAGTATGCTACAATAATGTAAGGGCCATGCTTTATTTACTTGAATTGTGTGAGTGTGCCAGGAATCATAGAATCACAGAGGCTTTGGCTTTCTTATAAACTGGGTCCATTTGGATTATCATAGTATAAAAAGCCATTTCTGTGTGCTCTGGCTTCCGTCACGGTGTTCCGTTGTGCCAGAAGTGGTTTAGTCTTGCTGGCCACATGACCTGGAAAGCTTTCTGCAGACAAACGCCAGCTCCCTCGGCCTGAAGCGAGATGAGCGCTGCACCCCATAGTCACCTTTGACTGGACTTAATCATCCAAGGGTCCTTTACCTTACCTTTTTGCCTAGTATAAATAGATTGGAATTAGATTTAGGCTGCAATCCTAACCCCATTTACCAGGGAATAAGACCCCCCCCCCCCATTTCAACAGGGTTTACACTTGAGTATACAAGTTTTAGTAGTGTATCTCTTGGGCTTCATTGCTGTCCCAATAGCAGGCCTGTTAACTGGTTTGCTGAACCATCACCCAAGCCCTGAGACTTTGGTTGTAAAAAGAGACTGCTAAGAAAATAAAAATAGATTGGACCAGTTTAGCTTAGCATATTTGTTCAAAGGAATGGGCTTTGCATAGCTAGTTAGCCAAGCAGCCATAGGAGCAAACTGGTAGAGAACTTTATTCTCCACCCAGGGGCTGGAGGTGGTGTCCTCAAGAGGTTTGTTGTGCAGTTAAAGAGAACAAAAGGGAACAATAGCCTTGAAACTGGATTTGAAAGAGGCACAGAGGCTTGATTTACTCTCTGGGAGAAAGCAAATCTATGTACTTCCAATAAATCTGAAGAGGAACAGGACAGGATCTATTGGAGTGTTAATGCAGTAAATTTTCCATCACAGGTTTGTGCAGAGTATGTGTGTAAATAAGACTTATATCACATTAGCATCGCAAGTCTCCAATTACCTTCATTCTAAGAAAAGAAAACCCAAGGTTTTTGCTGGGAGCCCTGAAACTTCTCACTACTAAGAGACTGGAGTGCATGTAACATATTATGTTTTGGTCTCTATCTTATATCTTGGGTTATGTAAAATAGCAGATGTTACAATATATATGCTCTTACTTTTAAAATAGCATGATTTTCTTCTTTTTGTATTTAAGAAAACAAGTTAGAGGAGATAAGATTAATAATAAAAACATGAGTCCTTGCACTGTTAAGGACAAGAAGCTCACAATAACCCCAAGTTTGTTCAGGTACCAAAAGGCATGTCCAGATAGGTGAAAAGATCACATCCATTTATGGTTACAGGAAGTGTCTTTGACAAACATATGCTCGGTACGTTTCAAGATGCCAGGACCAGCATGATGGCATAAGCAACCAAACTGGTACCTTTGGGTGAGAAGATGTTTTTGGAAGTGCCAACAAGGAAATGAAAGGGCCTTCCATGATTCCTTGGAACATCACAGCAGATGCTGGGACACAAGTTGTAGCTGAATGTGCCACGTTGGTCTGAAACAATTTTCCGGTACACACACACACAGAGGTTTTTCTTGCAGAAACGTCTGTTAAATTCATTGGTTTTAAAATACGTCTAAAGTCAATAGCTTTATGTATCACTTAGGAGAAAGGAAAGCATTCTATTAAACAGCTGGAACTGGGGTGAAACTACTCTAGTGTGTAATAACTCAGCTGGAAGTCATTCAGCCTTTGTTTCTCCTAAATCAAGGTTTTGTCTGTAGGCTAGTAAATTCTGCATGTCAATCTTTTGAGAGAGAGAAATATTTTGAAGGAACTGTAGTTGTTTTCAACCTGTAACATTGGCTTGTAGAATTAGCTTAGGATACATGAAGCTAATTATTATGGGTGGTATCAGGTATTAGTCACTCAAAGCAGACTCGTTGAAATCAAGAGTTATTAATGTCATTTTTCAGTGGACATCATGACTTATTTATATAAAAGCATTTATATACCACTTTATATTTTTAAAATCTCTTAAGCAGTGCATGATATCCATATATGGAAACCACATGTCTGCAAAAAGTCTCAGTGTAACGCACCATGTAATTCTCTTTATCCCAAAGGTAACTAGGTTATCACAGTGACCCCAAAACATGTGTCTATCTGTGTGAATGTGAATTATGTAGAGATGCAGCTGCCACCGTGATGGTGGCAGTCTTGGCTTTCTGGCACCTGCAGCTATATGATATAAAGGGTTATAGAATCAAAGAACTGTAGACTTTGAAGGGACCCTAAGAGTCATGTAATCCAATCCCCTGCAATGCAGGAATTGCAGCTAAAAAATCCCTGACAGATAGCCATCCAACCTCTTTAAAAACCTCCAATGTAGGCACCTACCACCTTCCAAGGTAGTCTGTTCTGCTGTCAAACAGCTCTTGCCATCAGAAAGTTCTTCCTAATGTTTAGTCAGAATCTCCTTTCTCATAATTAGCATCCTTTGGTTTAAGTCCTACTCTCTGGAGCAGCAGAAAACAAGGTTGCTTGTGACAACCCTTGAGATATTTGAAGATTATTATTTCACTTCTGCCTTCTTTTTGCCAGGTTAACATACCCAACTCCCTCAGCAATTACTCATAAGGCTTGGTTTCCAGACCCTTGATCATCTTGGTTGCCCTCTTCTGCACATGTTCCAGCTTGGAAATATCCTGTGTGGTGCCCAGAAATGGATGCAGTACTCCAGGTAGGGTCTGACCAGGTAGAATAGAGTAGTACTATTACTTTCCTTGTTTTGGACCCTAAACTTATGTTGATGCAGTCAAGAATTGCATTAGCCTTTTTGCTGCTACATCTCTTATGCTAAGCTTGTGGACTCATTAAGACCGCCCCCTCCAGATCCTTTTCACATGTACTGCTGTCAAGGTGTCCTTCATCCTGAATTTGTGCAGCTGGTTCTTCCTCCCTAAGTGCAGAACCTTATATTTGTCCATACCAAAAATCATTTTATTATTTTCCAATCTGCCCGGTTCTCCAATCTGTAAAACTTGTCTTGAATCCTTGTTCTATCTTCTGTGATATTAGCTACCACTCCCAGTTTGGTGTCATCTGTAAATCTGATAAGCATCCTCTCTATTACTTTAGCCGTCATTTATAAATATGTCGTACAACACTAGGCCCTTGTTAGATCCCTGCGGCATATTACATTTCATTAATTGGCTCCTACAAAAAAACATGCCTAGCAAGTAAATGAGTGTGTTTTTTTTAAAAAAAGTTTGACATAAATTTTTCAACTTTGTTGCTAGTCAAATTGAGAGCATTAGATTGAATACATAAAGAAAAGCCTTCTTTCTAAATGTTAAGATCTTTATGTGCTTGGTTGCTCCTCAGGTTATCTGAGCCACTAATACATGAAACACATTCTACATATTTGCAGTGCGGAAACAAATTTTAACAATAACTAATTATACAATGGCTACCTTATGTTAATTCTTGCATGCTGTTTTTTGCCACATTTGCTCATTATGATTGAATTTTTTTTAAGGACTTCTTCCTTCTCCAGACCACTCTCCCTCTTAGTGAACCTTGCAGTGAAGTTATGTTCCATTTGTGATGTCATAACTAACTACCATAGCAACCAACACTCACAATGTTACAGTACACAAGGTTCACTAGAATATTGAACAGAAGCGCAGAAGAGAAAAAAAGCTTTCGTTCAATCACACGCAAGAGATTTTATAAGTATTATGGAACACACTCACCCAGTGAAGAATTGGGAGGGGGGGAGCACCTTAGCTAAAGTTCTGAATTAAAGATTTGACAAGAGTTTTGGAGACTTAATTGCGATGCAAGGAAGACTGTATGATCCAAGGTACCTATGCCACAATGTTCAACTCAATTTTTGGAGATTTCATACTCCACAACTGTGGTTTTCAAACTTTTGTCAGCAAGTATTTTCCATACATCAGGTAAACAATATGCATTCACTTGCCAGAGAATTTCTGTCCATGGCCAAAGATTCTGGAATAGGTTTTGTAGGGCACATGCCCCATTGATTTGACATGTTTAGGAGGCTTGTTACCCCATGTGAAGTGAGAGTGCACCTCCAACACTCCCCAGCACAAATATAGAAGGGTTTTAACACAAAGAAGAGCCTCAAACTTTGGAAACAAACCTTTATTTGGGGAGGGACACCCGCCTGGATGCAAGAAAATACATCCTACAACAAATCTACATAGTTTTGCACTTTATAGAATATATTCTCAGGAAACACAGAATCTTATTTCACATACTAGAAACAAGAGTGGATCCAAATGTTTAATAATGAAAGTTGCTGAATAATTGAATAAGAATATGCAGCATTATGCTGATGATGTCTTAAAAGTACACTTTCAAAATTTTACTTTATTCCAAGTTATAGGTTTGTTTTTTGTTTATTTTTGCAAAGCCTTGTTATACTGTTTGCAGTTAACAGTTTATGGATGTAGTTTATAAATCTTGATGCTGGGTATTTTTTCATGTTCATGTGCAAGAGAAAGAAATTTCTCTCCATTTTTCATTGTGGCTTCAAAGACTCTGAAACCTTGCATTTCATAATTTCACACTTCAACTCGTGATGACATAAAAATCATATGTGCTGCTTCTCTGTACGTGATGGAGCTGCATCCTAGTCCAGGAAATGTCAAAGTATGAAGGAAAAAAATGCTAAACATAGCTTCATATACTGCACAGCCTGAAATTTTCCTCACTACAGTGACTTTGACTGAAAAAAGCATGAATCTCACATTTAGCTGAAAACAAGTCCTTTTCAGGTAACTATAGTTAATACAGCATCATTTTTAGGTGACTATTTACAGAAGAACATACTAAACAGCAGTTGTTTCATTTAACATTCCAAGTTCAAAAAAGCCAATAAAGCCATACCCATAATCCAGGTACAATGGAGGTATAAGGTACACTAAACAGCTACGTTTCTTGTTACAATACATACATAAACATGTTCTAGAGGAAAATCCAAACCTCATTATATGACATGGTACAGTGCAATGATTCTTGACTTATGTGTTCCCAAACACCTTTTGCTTACTGTTACATGGAACCAAGGACTATTACGTAGCTATATCACCTCTGTCCCAGCAATAACATAAAGGGATGATCAACCTGATCACTACTGGAATTAAATGCCTATTAAGAAACTCACTAATATGTCATGTAAAACTAACCTTTCTCCTGTACCTTCCTTCCTCTGCTTCCCTTTTGTCAGGGAACTGACATCGGAGCCAGAGGCGGAGGCTAGGCTCCCAAGTGATGCTGGAGAAGGGCCCAGCAGGGAGAGAGGCAGCTCATCAGGTGGGGAAGGAAATCAGCGTAACACCAGGGATAAAGGGGGGCAGATGGGGGAATCGGCGAGGGGGCTTCAGGACTCCTCGCCGGAGACCAGCGGGGAGAGCACGGGTCCTCCGCTACCCACACCCTCTCTGCGCAGAAGACTTCCGCGCAGGGAGAGTAGGAGGAGACTTGGCGTCAAACAGCTTTTATGCTGGAAAAGGTTTAAGAGACGCCCACTGACGGATTCTGCTAGCGACTGAGACAGCCATGAAGTGAAGGGCTGTCCGGACAGGAAAGGTTTAACCAGGCAACCTAGCCAGGAGTGGCGGCAACTTACGCACGAGCAACCCCCATTCTTATTACATTTATACTTTTAGATTTTAAAATTAGTGCAGGGCTTGAGCTATTGTTTTGATGTACTAGTTCGTTTAAACACTAGAAATAATGGCAAAAAAACCCTATTCCTTGAAAGTTGTGAAACTTTCAATTATGTTTCCTGTTTTTGTGTATAAGATTACTTTCACTGGACCAGATACTGTCTCACTTGCTCTGTTATTCTGTATAACCAACAACTAAACACTGTTATGCCCAAAGAGTATAGCTTTTGGGGGGAGGGCAAGATGAAGAGAGAAGCGCTGCCTTTACTAGTTATTTTACTCCATTTAAGCAGTATTTAAAAGACACCACCCTGCAACAAATAAATTAGATATTTTTATCAACAAAATTGAAAGTCAAAGTTATTGATGACAGCCAGGGTCTGCATGAAGGCTTTCCATATACAGTCTGAAGGGAGATTATGTATGCCTTGGTTGTTTGTAATATTACCCCTCATACAGTCCCTTTTTTCTAATTGAAGCCTAGTGTTCTCTATTTCAAGATAAAGAAAAACTGGTGGCTCCTTTGACAACTTCCTTCAGCCTTGCTGGAGAATATGGTGCCTTTGTTTCTTACATTTTCTCTACAATCTGTGGCAGGGTATGCATGGAAGACAGATGAAACAGTCAAACAAAGCAATCCTAGGCATGCTTACTCAAAAGGAAGCCCCACTGTGTTCAATGAAGAGCCAGTTATTTCATACTAACAGCCAAGCAGCTTTACAAGACTTGACCTATGAAACATTTATAAGGGGGGTCTGCATTGGGTTACATCACACCAATCAGCTAAAAATACACTTTAATGTTTTGTAAACTATTGTCTTTCCTTCCGTACACAGAATGTATTCTTTCTTTTGCTATCAGCAAATATTGCATTTCCCAGGCTCATCCTGTTAAAATTTAAACTGTAATATGCTTTGCAATCTGTGTGCTCATGCTTACCAAAAGAGTGTGACAGATCATTGCTAGGATTCCTTTCTTGCCTTCAAACTGAGGCTATGATAACATAACTTGACCAAGGCCAGATCAGACAGTGAGACCATAACATTGTGTCTTCTGAATGATGTGTTTGCTTATTAGAGGCCAACTGCAGCCACTGGATCACAATGGAACCCTCCTTGCTTTATTTTCAAATTTTCCTTTTTCGTTCTTAATTTATGTGATAAGCCCAAACCTATCACTAAGGAGAGACCTCCCCATAACTCTGCTTTCTTATCTCCATGTGAGTTCTTACTCCACATCCCTAATGTGTTGCTTCCTCTTTCATATCTAGCCTAAGGCAGGGCTTAACTTAACCCCTTTCTTTCTACTAAAGTCCTTACTCTACCCTCAGCAGCAGCAGTTACCAAACAGGAAATCTCTTGAAAAAGATGGAAACACCAGAGGAGAAAAAGCACAAACTCAGGATTAAGGCTGCAATCCTAAAACACGTTTTACTAGGGAACAAGTTTGTTTTAACTCAGCAGGGCTTACTCCTGCATAAACATGTTGAAGACTATGCCTTTAGGAAGGAAATACAGAAAGCTACTTTCTGAGTCAGGTCCATTGGTCCATCGAATGGTGCTGTGGGTTAAACCACAGAGCCTAGGGCTTGCCTCGAGAGGGTGAGCTCCTGTTGATTGGTCCCTGCTCCTGCCAACCTAGCAGTTCGAAAGCACATCAAAGTGCAAATAGATGAAAAGGTACCGCTCTGGCAGGTAGGTAAACAGCGTTTCCGTGCACTGCTCTGGTTCGCCAAAAGTGGCTTAGTCATGCTGGCCACATGACTCCCTCGGCCAATAAAGCGAGATGAGCGCCGCAACCCCAGAGTCGGCCACGACTGGACCTAATGGTCAGAGGGTACCTTTACCTTACTTTCTGAGTCAGGCCCATTGGTCCATCTAGGTCACTGTTGTCTGCACTGACCGGCAGCGGGTTCAAATGGGATTTCTCTCCCACCCCTGCCTGAAGGCCCTGCGAAGCAGATGCTCTGCCCTTGAGCTGCAGCCATTCCCCTACGGATACTTACTGGTACATATGCACTATAGGTGGACATAGTGGGGCTTCCCCTCAAGTACAGTGGTACCTCGCAAGACGAATGCCTCGCAAGATGAAAAACGCGCAAGACGAAAGAGTTTTCCGTTTTTTGAGTCGTTCCGCAAGACGAATTTCCCTATGGGCTTGCTTCGCAAGACGAAAAAACCGCAAGACGAAGAGACTCGCGGAACGGATTAATTTCGTCTTGCGAGGCACCACTGTAACCCTAAACAGGATCGCGCTGTACTTTTAGTATTATTGTGTTCAGTGCTTTTATTCTATATATATATATATTTAGGGGTACTCTCATTTTCCTCCTAATACTGAAATACTGCTCCTCAATGAGGCCAAACTTAAGATTTACCAAATGTCATGGGGTCTGCGTCCCTCCAAGGAAAAAAGCACTGACTGTGTTTTCTGAAACCTGCCACGGTGCGTGAGACGGTGGCCACTCTGCACATGCGCAGAGGGGGGCAGTAAGGCCGGTCTCTGGGTGTCACAACCAAGCCGCGTTGATTTCGGCCTTCGCGTGTGAGGGAGAAAGCAGCCAGGCTTTGACTCAGCCTCCCTCGAGCGCTGCCGATGCTGCCCCCCCCCGCCCCGCTTCTCCCGGTCTTCGCCGTCCCGCCTAGCCCCTTCCGAGCTGCCTGTCAGAGCTCGCCCCAACCGCCTTCCCCTCCTCAAAACCCGGGCCGCCCCCTCCGAAGGACCCGGCCGCCTTGCGCGCTCCCGCCTTGTCCCCGCCCCCTCCTGCGACTCACCCGAGTACGTGGCGCCCCCGTCACAGGGGAAAGTAGGTCGGGGAGGAGGGATTGGGCCGGGCGAGGCCGCGCGTCGCCCCCACGTCAGCGCTGATGCCGCTGCGCCGTCACCGCGGGTGGGGGGGAGGGTTGCTCAGGAAATGGCGACCATCGCCGCGCCTTTAGCCTCGCTCACCTGAGCCGGCGGCGAAAGGAAGGGGGGGGGAGAGAGAGAGAGAAAGAGGGAGAGTGGGGGAAGCGGAGGGCGGGGCCACAGCCAGCGAGGGCCAGCCTCGCCCCCCCTCCCCACCGGCCAACGCCCATTGGCTACTTAGGCGGCCTAACGGCTGGAACTCGCGCCAACCGCCGAGCCGACGTTTCGGCCCACTGATTGGCTAATCGGGAACGGCGGCGGGGGGGGCGGAAATAGAGCGAGGGTGATTGCGGTGCTTTTCGTGGGTGTTAACACACCCCCGCCCCCGCTCGCAAGATGCAAAATGAACGTTGCTGTGTTAAAACAGACCCCGAGGCGACCTGTCCGAATTTTGGCCGCGCTCGCTGACAGACCAGGGATTTCAGCTCCATTATGCAGTAGGGATTTACTTCCGAGTAAAGTTTTACAAAGCGATACGCGGCGTGATGATGATAAATATTTATACCCCGCCCACCTGGCTGTGTTTCCCCAGGCACTGTGGGCGGCTTCCAACAAAATATTAAAATACAATAATTCATCAACTATTATAAGCTTCCCTAAACAGGAATGTCATGGGCTGAGAGAGATACAGAATAAGAGAACCAGAATGTACGTTCAAAGAAGACTGGGAAATGTTTACTGAAGATATGGGTGAAGATTGTGTTTATTTAAAAACGCTGGTAGCATTAAGATAAATTCAACAGTGTAAATAAGTTTTGATGGATATAACAATGGATTACTGAACGGTCTAGTTAATGTAAAATATGCATGGATGTATAGTATTCAAATGAACCATGGAAAGAGAAGGGAAGTCATTGATTTTATTTTATTTTTGCCATTCATTTTTATTGGTTTCTTTCGACATACATTCATCCTATCACATTGTAACAAATAGATTTTTCTGTAACTTAAACATATATTTGTAAAACATAGTACAAGGGGGAAACAACAACAGCATACATACTTAGTTATTTGATTCATTTGTAATCCATTTGCATTTGGGGAAGTCATTCATTTAAGGTTGTTTAAATGAATATTTTGAAATGTAAATTAGAAAAATTAATAAAGGCTTAACCCTGCAGCAGCAGGTCTCTTTATAAAGAGATCTGCTGCTGCAGGGTTAGCCTCGTGGGCACATTTCTTGAGTAAAAACAGGTAGGATTCTACTGTTAGGCTGGACTTCAATACGACAGCCTGCGTAATTCATATTACATTGACAGGAAATGTGCCAGTGTGCAGTGAGGGCTTTTTTTAAAAAAGTTACAAATCAGAGGTGGTGAAGCTAGCTGTGCATATGTTTTTGGACTACTATTCCCTTCTGATCATTGCCTGTGCTGGACATCCAACAGCAGCATCTGGAGAGCTACAGGTTTAGATCATAGAAGTGTAGAGTTGGAAAGGGACCACAAGGGTCATCTAGTCCACCCCTCTATAACTGAGCAATCCCAGAACTCCTTAATGAGAGAGGGAGAGGCTTATAGATAAAGCTGCATAGGTTACCGTATATGCAAGGACAAAAGACCCTTCTGTATCAGCTATTAGACCAGCATCCTGCAGCCAACTGCGTTTTGGAAGTCCCTCCAGCAGAAACTGGGAACAAGAGCACTCTTTTCTCTTGGAAGTTTCCAGCGACTGGTATTCAGAAGCAATAACGGCCTCCAGCTGGATGCAGAGCATAGGTTTCTTGGCTAGCAGCCACTGATACTAGTAGTTACCTGTTTCTTTGTTAAGCCGGGTAAGAAAGGGAGAGCCAGCTTACTTCATAGCTGGACTTGCTCAAAACAAGGTTTTACAACCTAATTCCTATGCTTATAGTTTTGCTGCCAAGGATGAGATTTTGAAAATGTTCAACCCACATAGTGGGGTGCCTGGAAGGATAAACTGCAATTAACATAGCATTTCCAAGGCAGTTAGCTCAGTTGGTTGGAGTGTGGTGCTGATAATGCCACGGTCATGGGTTCAAGCCACCAAGGATGGGTTCATATTCCTGCATATTCCTAGATGATCTTCAGGGTCCCTTCCAACTTGACGATTAAACCCCATCCCCCAAAACACTGTTCACATGTATTTCTGATAGTCTTCCCAAGATCACTGAACTGTAGGAGTACCATACATAACTGAGAGTACGCCATGAGACCAGGAATGCACATCATTAATTTATATTTTAATGTGCAGTTTTATTTTCCTATTGCATCAGTTCTTCAATAAGACAAGCTATGTAAACTTTACTGAGATTGAGTTACTGCTTTATATTAAGTCAGAACATTGGTCTATCTAGCCCAGTACTGTCAGCAGTGACTGGCAGTGGCTCTCCAGGGTTTCAGGCAGGGGCCTTTCCTAGTCCTAAAGGTAAAGGGATCCCTGACAATTAAGTCCAGTTGCGAATGACTCTGGGGTTGCGGCGCTCATCTCGCTTTACAGGCCGAGGGAGCCGGTGTTTGTCCGCTTCTGCAGAGTTTTGCCGGGTCATGCAGCCAGCATGACTAAGCTGCTTCTGGCGAAACCAGAGCAGTGCACGGAAACGCAGTTTACCTTCTTGCCATTTATCTACTTGCACTGTGTGCTTTCAAACTTCCAGGTTGGCAGGAGCTAGGACCGAACAACGGGAGCTCACCCCGTCGTGGGGATTCAAGCCGCCGATCTTTCAATTGGCAAGCCCAAGTGGCATAGTGGTTTAATCCACAGTGCCACCCATCCCTTTCCTAGTCTTACCTGGGTACAAACAGAACCTTCTGCATGCAATGCATATTATGAATTATTTATTAATTCCCCCACCTTTTTCCCTGACGGGGTTCAAGGGGACTTACGTGTAAAAATGAGAACTGCTAAAAACAGAAAAAACTGATTTATAACAATTAAAATTTTTAGAAGTAAAACTATATACATACATAAAATCTGTTAATATAGATACATATGGATACATATATGAAACCATACAAATAATTACAATAAGAGCACAGCACCAGCCCTTTCATTAAAAGCAACCGGTTTCCAAAAGCTTGTTGGAACAAAAAAGTCTTCACCTGCCTGAAGAAGGACAATAAGTAGGAGGCCAGTCTAGCTTCTCTAGGGAGGGCATTCCAAAATCTGGGAGCAGCCGCCAAGAAGGCATCTCCTGAGACCCCACCAGGCTTGCATGTGATATGCATATACTATACCACTGAGGTATGGTCTTTCCTGGATTTGGAAGCAAATGCATTACAATAGGATTTCCTGGATGTTCTTTATACAAATTCAGCAATTCAGATTGTGCAATTACTGTGCTCCTTTTCATAAAGCTTGGCCTTGGGAGTAGGCTGTTGGCAGAATTCTGCAAGGCATTTGAGATTGCAAACTACATCATTTGCCACTAAGTGCTGCTTGTTTATAGTTTTGCAAGAACCCTGGTGTTCCTCAACCCTGTCACAATTTCCCCCCACTTGATATTTAATGTTTCATCAAGTTAGCTTTTTACTTGCACAGAAAATACACTTGAGAGTTGACCTGCTTGTTTATAAAAGAGCCTACAGGTTTTTTTACTCCATGGGATTTACCAGTGCTTTTTTCCCCTAAAAAATTCTTTAGGGATACTCAAGAAAATCACCCAGAAAGGAAATGAAGCCGCCATCAGAGGTGGTAACAACGAAACTGACCAATCACCGTGCTACAGTCCAACTCCTACTTCACATATTAAATGTTCGCTTCCGTCTGAGACTCAGGAAACACCGTGACTGGAAATGAGGCCGCTATTGGAGTTAGCAACAGAACTGACATTCACCTTGCTTTTCAACAGAACTGACAATTCACAGTGCTAGAGAAGAATCTAATTTTTTAAAAAAATTTAGTTTCTTCTCCCGTTAGATTAACAAAATGTTTAGGGGTATGTGTACCCTTGCGCCTCCCAGAAAAAAAAGCACTGGGATTTACTAATCACATTGGTAGCCGTAACTGTTCCCATTATTGTACCATGTAAGATACGCATTTCTTACGAGAACTCTGCAAAAATTCAGAATCACTTTTATTTACTGTACACATTTTTATATCATTCATGTATCTGTTATTGTAAATGTTTTCACTGGCTTATACTTTGATGATAATAATAAACTATGGTAAGGTGGAAAAACTGCACATTTTATGATACCTGGCTGCATGAGATGCTAGTTTTACTTGATTTAGTTTCTCTAAATCAAACATAGCAAACATGACACAATTTCTAGAGAGGTATCCTTATCTGTTGCAACACAAAGCAAAGAGCTTTGTGGCACCTTAAATTCAAACAAATTTATTATGGTATACTGTATATGGTTTCATAGACTACAGCACACTTAATCAGATGTGTGAAATATTATCCTGTCAAAATACTCTCCTCAGTTATTAAGGACACCCTACATTAGATAAAAATAATTTATCTTCACTAGTATCAGAACTTTATATTTGGCTGAATAGTGAAAGACATGAGGATTCTCATTCTGCAGTCTGCCAACTTTAAATTGCAGAGGATCTGGTGCCCTCTAGGTGGCTGCTGCTGCTGCTGCTTTTTCAGATTCAAGACAGTGGTGAGCCTTGGAAGTATAACTGGAACCTATTCAGTGCTTACATATTTTGCATGGGATTGCAAAGTTAAAATGTTAACAGCAGCATTATCTTCATACAAAGGGATAAAGCTGGCCTGGATGTATAGTCTACTAAAATCAATTTTGTTGTTTAGTCGTTTAGTTGTCTGACTCTTCGTGACCCCATGGACCAGAGCACACCAGGCACTCCTGTCTTCCACTTCCTTCCACAGTTTGGTCAGACTCCTGTTGGTAGCTTCGAGAACACTGTCCATCCATCCCGTCCTCTGTCCCCTTCTTGTTGTGCCCTCAATCTTTCCCAACACCAGGGTCTTTTCCAGGGAGTCTTCTCATGAGGTGGCCAAAGTTAAATCTATGTTAAATCGTCAATACCAAATTTCACTAATAGTTGAAATTTCATTTCAAACTAATCAACTTGTATACCACCTTCTAACAACAAAAACACAGGTTTTGCTGAGTTTTCAGAGGGGATTCCACATCTGAGTAACCTGAGGTACCACTGTATTGTACAATCAAAGCCCAGCCTTCTCACCAGGCGTTAAGATACTGAATTTCTATGAAGTCTTGGACCCCAAAACTTTCAGCTGATACATCACTCGCACAGAGATGCCTATTTCTATTACTGCTGTGCGATTTCGTGTGTTTGTTTTTGTTTTTACAATCAAACGGTAATACATAATTTTAAAAATACATTTTTTCTCTTTCACCATACCCCATCTTGCATTTGCTGACTTGAGGACTAGGGACAATACAGAAACGCCTACTTTGCTAAAACGTTCCCTTTCCCGCGGGGCCACTATTTTATTTTTGCACGTCCTAACTCGCTCTACGCAAGAGCAGCCTGCCCGGCGAAAGAGCACGTAATCACGCACGGCCAAATTAGGAAGCGCGCGCATACAAAAGAAAAGAGCGGCGCACGCGCAGCCCAACCTCTCCTTTTCGTCTGCGGTAAAGGAAGCCGCGTTATTTATTTCTTGGAGGGGACGGAAGTGGCGAGGAAGCTTGGCCTTTCGCGCTTCCCGTAGCTCGGGCGATACCAACTGCCTCCGCGATTCCGAGGGAGAGGAGAAAAAAGGGGGGAAGAAGAAGGCGCGCTTATGAACGGCCTGCCTCCGGGGGCCGCACGCGAAACCTTGATGGGGGGAGCCTGACGCGCCGACAAGCCGGGAGAAGCGGCCTTGGCGCGCGCCTCGGAGGCGGCCGCGGGAAAAGGGCGAGGTGAATGGGCGCCCCCTCCCCTCCCACAACCTGCCCGCGCTGAGCTACTGGGAAGCCAGTGGGCGGGGCTCAACGGGCAGCCGTGGCGGCTGGGTAATGGCAGCCCTGTGAGGAGGATCCCGGGGAGCGGAGGGGCAGGAGCCGCAGCCTGCGCAGGAGACGCGCCGTTTGGGGAGGGGGCGGGGAGGCGACACTGACCCAGGCCTCTCCTGTTGCCAGGTAACGGGGGGGAGCGGGGCCGCCCTCTTTCTCCGCTTCTCTTTCCTCCGCCTCCCCCCACCCCCCTCGCCCATTTCCCTTGTGGGTCAGGCGCCCCTTATGTTCTGCCTCGTCCCCGGCGTTCTTCTTTTCTTTTCGGCCTTCTTCTTCCCCATGTCTGGAGAACGGGCCGTAGGATCTAACCTGCCGGTATGTGTCCCGCTGCTGCGACCCGTCCCCGTTTGCTGCCCTTTACCCTGAGCCCCGACCTCATGGATGTTTGCGGGCGTGTTCAGAAACTCCGGGTCGGATCCAGACTTGTGCCGTGCTTTGCATTGCTTTCCATGGGGCTTAAGCCTCTTGGCTCGTTTCCTGGGAGCAAGTCCCCCCACCCGCCCATTGAAGTCATCAGGGTTTACCTCTGAGTAGACACGGTTAAGGAGTGCGCTGCTAGTTTTGGATCATAACCTTACCTGTTAAGTGTGTGGCATCAAAGAACACCTGAATAAGACTGTGCTCAAGCAAGCACTACGAGGGTACAACCGCAGGCCTTTTGTTCCCATTTTAGAAATAGCAAGGCAGTCACAAACAAAGAAGTGTCTAAATGAATGGCAAAATGCAGGGAGGGTTAATGTTGTTTTAGTTCAGTGTTCCCGGTTTTGCTTTGCATGAGTAATACTGCTGGATTTTTAAACCAGGTACTGAGTGAAGGTGATGGTTCTAAGAATTCTGATAATGAAAAATCCGGCTTGCATGCAGTAAATTGAAAATTTATGTATCACTTTTTTCCATTATCGCCTCAGCAAAACAAGACAGTTTTATTAAATCCACTGGGCGTTTGGACATCCAAAATGTGTCCTTTGAAACGCCACCAACTGTTTGGCCCATAAAATTAAATTTATCTGCAACAGTTTTGAAGAACTACCTCTAAGAAAGCCATAGCCTTAAAAACAACTTCTCCAGAAAAAAGTATCATTGACAATACCCTCTCCTGGCATTTATCCTATCAGAAAAAATCCTCCTGCACAAGAGTGTGAAAGATATTAGCAATGAACATCATATTCCTGTTGTGGTTTACATTGCAAATAAGGAGATAGGTAGTTGATACTGCCTTGACAGAAGTCAATAGTGAGCCTTCTTTCATTGCTTCCTGCTCTCTCCAGACATCTCTCAAATGATTTGTGAGAGATGAATTAAAATAGTCACTGTTGGGCTGCATGTTAGTGAATGCAAGAATTATAGCTCTTGCACTTTTTCTAGTTGAGAATTAACTGAATTATAATTACAGCATTATAAAATACAAACATCATGCTGTGTCATGCAGTAAACCAGGGATACATCTTATGCACATTTAACTTGCATGCAATCAGCTTTACATACTTGGCCAAAAAAAATTATTAAAATTAAAAATTGGAAAGGGAACAGGCTTCCAGGGGAATTTTTTTTTTGCAAACCCACTTGTCGTTAAACCCACTGTGCTTTGACTATGTGATTTTGGCTTTATATGCTATCACCAGAATGTAACCGCCACATAAGTTGAGAGTCACCTGTATATATGTATCTCATTCCATTTTAGCATATAAACCTTTTCCTTTTTTGGTGTAATCATATGTTTTGTATCTCTATTTATAAATCCATTCACACACCGCCAAATTCACCATTCACTTAATGTATCCTATCAAGATGACTTCAACAGTGGACCTGGTTAGAATACCTACCAGGAAGGATTTTTTCTTTAGCAGGTATCAATTTCCCAAGGCTCGGACAAAGTTAAGATGTGGAGAGATGTAATGTGCATACCTCACTAATGAAGTACTACCACAATGTCGTCGTATTCTGTAGAATCTTAGGACCACTTCACACTTGATAGGGACTCAAAAACCTTCTCCATGGTGGCGCTCCTATTTTTGAAGTGCTCATGAGAAATGGCTGGCACCAACTCTTATTTGCTTTTACAAAGGGCGTTTATGCTAAGACTTGGCCATTTGTTATTGATGGCTACCCCTGTGCTGGGTAGTTGTTTTAATTTATTAACTGGCCCATTTATGCTATTAATTGAATATTTTTTGTAGTTATCTTTTATTGTTTTATCCCTGAGCTCACTTGCTAATGAGGGGTGAGCTAAAACATGCTTAGATTGACTGAAACAAAATTCATGCCCACATTTCCCTTAATGCACAGTTGTTATCTCCATTAGGGAAAATGTCATTATGCCATCTGATATGGTGTTAGTCATGGGTTTGTTGTTTTTGTTTTTAAAAAAGGACTGGACAGAAATTCATGAAAGATAGAGCCATGAACTGCTATTAGCCATAACAGAGACAATGAAAATTATGTATTTAAAGCTGGTATACTTTTGAATATCAGGTGATGGGGCAGCCAACATGGGAAAACACTTATTACTATCATGTTGCACATGGGAGTTATGGGGAAGAATCTAGCAGGCCTCCAGACGCTTGTCTGATAAGTTCAGTCCTTGAGGATATCATTTTCATATATTGTGTCTATCTTCCCCCAAGTTTTGTAGACTTCAGGATTAAGCAATTTTAGTTCCAACTCATCTTAAGACATCTTTTAGATTTATCAAGAAAGACCAGTCTGAACTTCTTGTGTGTGAAGTATGCCTGGATAAGATAGGAATGCAGGTGTAAGTTGGTGTTAACAGAATTGCCTGAAGGTAAAATGTTGTAATTGATTCATAAAGAAGATACTATAGGAAATTGTAACTCTATAAATTATGCACCTTAAAGAACTGTGTTAGGTTTGTTCACATAAACAGTTTTTTACTTATTGACATACCACCCATAGTAAATTAACCAATTTCCATCTTTCCGAAAAGTAATAGCAATTGATTCACCACTGTGAGAACTGTCAACGGTTTTATTCTGTTTCTGTTTCTGTTCTACTTCCGAGTGTTTGCCCCTTGTTTTCCATTGTTTCTTCTCTTCTTTCATTGTATTCTGAAATAGTTATTGATACATCTTTGCTATGAGTAAGGAAGCATACAGTGTGCTGTGTTTTAAAATGGCGATTTCGCTTATTTCTACAGAATGGCAAAAATAGTGCTTTTAGAATAGCCAGCATTATCAGCTAAATTTGGGTTCATTGGTCTGCTCAGATAACTTGAAGTAATGTTGGTATTGCTGTTATGAGTGAACAAATACAAACTTATTGAGGAATATTGAATATTCCACACCACTTGGAAATTGCTAGGAGTCTAGGTATAAATAGTCATTATAATATGTTATACAAATAAAACCACTTACACAACTCATATTTTAATAATGACAGTATTTTTAGTCTGACAGATGCACCTTTTTGGAGTGCTAAGTTCTCTGAAATGACTCTTGCTATCAAAAAACCAAAGTGCTATGTCAAGTCTAGATACTTTCAGCTGCTTCGCAACTTTTCTGTGGACCTGAATGGATTTTGTGAACTAGAGTTTGAGAATCTCTGCTCTAGCCCTCAGTGAGCCCAGGGTTAGTACAGTTATTAACTGCAGTTTAGAGATCGGGATATGGGTATATCTGCCCCCCCCATCCTCTCTTCAGCTGGATATCCTTGCCTTGCCGTAACCACACTTAAAGGTCAGGTTGGCACCAATGTTGACTCGGTGGATTATTTCAAATTGTGGTTCTGATTCTGTTTTGGAAGCAGACTGTTATTAGCAGTAAGCAGCAAACTATGGTTACTAGTGACCAGGAAGTGGCGGAGGGAGTCTGCTTGCATGAGAAGGAGGAGGGGTGTTTAAGCCCGCAGTAAGTTCCTGATGGCAGAAGAACTGATTTGTTGACCTGAACCAGTTTGCTTTGTAGAGAGTCTTGGATTCAGTGCTTGGTTAAGTGTACATTTCAGTATGGTTTGTGTTTAAATTCAGATTTAATTTTAAATCTATATAGCATAAAATGCACACACACACATCAGATCTTATATATATATACAATATAAATAAATGATCTCTTTGGGACATTAATATGGTACAGTGATTGTCCCAAGATCACCCAGTGATCCATGACTGAGTGGGGATTTGAACCTTGGTCTGTCCAGTCCTCCTCCACTACACTTAACTGTTCTGCTACACTGACTCATTTAAAAGTAATTTTCTACAATTGAAGTGCAAGCTATTTAAGTGCAACTCAAATTTTCTGTTTGTTTGCTACTTAATTGCAGCATCATCGACCTCCCTATTGGCTTCCTGTTGGAACAGCAAAATCATTCATTGTTACGGGATTACATTTGCTATTGCAAGAAACACCTAAAAGGAAACAGTTTGGCTACTTTTTCTCGGCTCTGTGCTACTCTGTGTACTTTTCCTAGAAACCTCTCTAGGTCTGATGCATGTAATTGACCCCGATCTACTCAGGCTCTTTCTGGGAATCATGCTGTTTGTTCTGTGATTCATTCTTGCGCGCATTATTTGTAGTATACATGGCAACAGTGAGGACCACGGAATATTGCACTTTGCTAGAGAAGTACCACAGAGCAACATTTCTGTAGCAAAGATTTCTAAGAGTACCAGCAGAAATCAGCCTGGGTAATAGAGCAGGTCGGTTGGGGAAGCTTTTAATGTTTGATGTTTTGTGTTTTTAGTATTCTGTTGGGAGCCGGCCAGAGTGGCTGGGGCAACCCAGTCAGATGGGCGGCATACAAATAATACAATCATCTACATCCTCCTCCTCCTCCTCCTCTAACCAATTATAAGGTTTAAAACAAAAGAGTTAAGCGATATAGTAATATTTTGTGGCTAACATTAGTTTGAAACTAATCATCTGGATTTTTCTCTTTTTTGCAGATCAATACTAACGCCCCACAATGTCCTTGAAACCACGAGTAGTTGATTTTGATGAAACATGGAACAAGCTGCTTACAACAATTAAAGCTGTTGTTATGTTGGATTATGTGGAAAGATCAACATGGAATGACCGCTTTTCGTATCCTTTTAATAGAAGCTGGCCTCTGATTGCATGTCATCGTGTGGTCTTGCAGATATTGGTTTGGCGTAACCTTTCATAAATTTGCTCCCAGCATTATGCCAGCTGGAATAAAATGTCTTCTATGACCCCCATTTTTGACAATTTCTGAGAAAGCGAGGACCTCATTGTAAAAAAAAGTTGTCAGAAATGTTGCATACAGTGAAATGGGGAAAATCTGAATTGATCACTTCCTAAGAACTGTTGCTATGGATAAATGATAATGATTGTCTAATTACATTGAGTTTAGTACATGACTTTTTGGTATATATTCTGAATGCAAGATGTGGCTTTTTTATTCACTTAGAGCAGACAAATTGACATCCCTAATAAATATGCCAACAGTCCGACTGGCACAAGTAGCCTCATCTGAACTATTGTTTATTGCTTTACTGCAGTTGGGTTAGATTTCTAACTGTTGCTTTGATTGACTATGACAGTGGATAGCTTGATGTTTGGTTTGCTCTGGAAGAAAGGATAGCCATCCTTTGTATTATTGGTAACAGTGACTGCCTTTTTCCAGAGAATCGTTCAACAAAAGGCCTTTTTGAAGGATTGTCAGTGTATTTGCAATTAATTATTTGTATAAGCTGGATGCAACCCATCTATAAATTCAAATTGTGAATGTTTACGTTTGCAAGATAAGACACATGCTACTGAAGGAACTAGTAAAACCTCAAGCCAGGTGGAATCTGTCAGTAGCTATTTCCTTTATGACTCAGTAGCAGAGCGACTGTTCTCATCAGCATATACAAAGCTGGACACTTGGTCTATCTGTATAGTCTGCACTGACTAGCAGTTGCTCTCCAGGGTTTCAGACAGGATTCTTTCCTAGACCTTACCTGGAAATGCCAGGAATCGAAGCTATATTTTGCTGGATGCATGACCAATTATCTTTTGGAATATGTAGTATAGGGGATGGAAACAACCTGCTTTTCTTACAGAAACAACCTACCTACCTATGATGTTGATATTATATCCCAGTAAACTTAGTACATCATGATGCATTAGTAGAGGGGAATCTATTGTACCTTACAGATGGGTGCAAACAAGTTGTCCTATGTAGGCAGTTGCTGTTCCTTTGCTCATATGATGCCCAAATGTGTTGATGTTCACAGCAGGTTTTAATTCAGTTTTTCGATAGTGCGTACCTTCCTTGAGACTGAAAGCAGAGTAAATATGCTCAGGATACTGTGCTCCAGTATAATACCAAGTCCTCTTGTAAAGAGCAATGGAGATCACATGCTACTTTTATTTAAAGCATTGACTCACTTTCAGCTACCTTTTGACCTTCAGATCTGTTCAGCCTGAACCCCTGCAGGAACAAGATATTTCTGGCACTGTGCTTCCCTCGCAGCATAACTTAAGCATGTTACTAGAAGTAATTTACTGTTTTATAACTTCATTCTAGAAAGTTAGTTTTGCTTTTTAAAGTAAAAGTCATTTCCAAGTTTCCATTGAATAGTTCAGGCTGGTAGCAACGGATTTTTGATGTGGGAGGGTGCCTTTTAACACAATTCTGTCATTCTGTCTTTACTCCATTTTTCACCCTAGTAAATGACTCCTGTTTCTTTATGCCCCTGCTCTCATTTCTTGGCATTGGTTGTTCTTGAATTGGTCGATAGGCTTTCAACAAGATCTTATTGCAGCATTTGCAATGTGTTACCATAATACCAGTGGTTACCAAAATACCACTTCTGTCCTCTGGAAACCTGTTTGTTGCTTCAGGAAGGTAATCCATAAACTGCAGTATAGTTCTGGTTCTAAACACAGAAATCTAAATATAGGAAGAAGAACAAATTATGGAGGGTTCTGCTTTTTGAGGGTGCCCCCACTGCCTGCTACAGGAGTGTCCTCACCAGGATGCTAAGCAAGGTGTGAAGGGAACTGAAACAGAATTTGGGTTAAGAGAATCAGACTTTGCAGCATCAAGCAAGGCAAATACAACAGGACCCAAAATTCAGCTGAGACCTTATCTCATCAAGCAGGTTGGATAGCCTCTAGAACTCCACCCATCAAATGAAGATGCTGGGTATTAAAGGACTCAGGTGCTGTTTAATGATGATGATAGCTTCTACCTTTTAAAACAGAAAATTGCTTTGGGTAGTGGGTAGACCAATTCAGATGTTTCACCCAAAGGTCAGCTGCCATTTCAAGACCTGAGGTCTAGTCACTTTTTCTTCTCCCTTTGGAAAGTTCCCACTGAAATTCTACATATTGCAGATTCTGGGGCCATGAGACAAGTGTCTGATCATTATTGGAAAAGTCACTATCAGAGGGGCTTGATCACACAGAAATATATGAGTTTAGTGAATCTTAATGCAGAAAAGCTTAGGAATTGAAGAAGGGCTTCCACTTGGTTCAAAGTCCAGTTCACAATTTGTTGCTTATCTTTGTATTTTTCAGAATAACATGGTTAGGGCAACTGCTTATTATTTGCTACAATGAGTCAGTCCTTATGAAAACTACTAGGTATGTAATGAACTCCCCAGACTTTAAAGGTTTCTCATAAATGCAACAGCAGCAACATTTTCTGGTATTCAGAAATAAAAAGCTGGCTTCATAGATTCCTTCTATAGGCAGGATTTTATTTTAGAAAGAATTCTTTTTGTTTCATCCTTTATTTCGTGCTTCTAGTCTACTCAGTTGCTTTAGAAAAGACCAAGAGTATAATAGTTCTTTTTCCACATAGATGCATCAGCTATGGACCAGATCCTTCTGGAAAAACCTTGCTTGTTTCAATGCTTTGTGTTTTGGATGGCTTATGGGGAAAACAAATTTGACAGTGTGTTTTTTATAATGAGCAATGATAACGTGGTGCCATTATCATTTTTTTGGCTAGATATCTTACTTTTCTCTTCTGTCTTCCAGGAAAGCTTTAATAGAGGTGGGGTATTGGGGGGAGGAGGCTTATTTTAGGAACTATGTAGCCTGTTATGACAGACAAATTAGACTGCAAGACATTTTTATGGAGGAGATATTATTTCACATATGGCCAACTGTTACGTTGTTAGTGTTGAGTATTCAAAGGAAGCAGACCATAATGAAGAACATCCTCTCGGAAGCCAAAGTTTACAAGAAGAACATGCTGAAGCTTCTACTAGTATGAAGTGGTGTATTGTTAAAAATCTGTAGGTAACTTTGCTCTTGTTGTGAGGAACTGCTTCCTGCTCTAGACTTGGAGAAATAACACTGTTCTCAAAAAAGGATTGTTTGAAAGATACCGTTTCTTTACAGGTTATGCTACACTGTAAATACAGGCCAGGGCAAAAGGCCCCTGCATGGCATTCTGGTGATTTTCAGGCCCTACATTCCCACTTGTGATGCTTTTTCTATAGGCTGGGAAGGCCTCTCCTGAACAGCCTTCTCTGCAGTACATGGAACTGCAACTGAAAGAGAAAGCCAGCAACTTTTCCATGTGCAAGCCTTGAAACCAAGCCACATTGTTCATTTGTTTTTAAGATCTTGTTAAACGTTTGGGTTAAGAGAATTTGAAAATATGTTTCATCCTTGACTTTAAACCCAGGGACATTTACGCTTTGTGTGTGGCCTATCCTGAACCACTGGGGGAGAGACTTTATATGGAAACAAAGAATTTTTTGGAAAATCATGTACGCCATTTGCACAAGGTAACTATAAAGTGTACAAGACATGAGTCTTCTCACTGTATGAGGATTTCATGACTGTGAATACAAGCTGTTTCACTATTTGTTAAGGATTACAGTCATTTTTTAATTTGTAAAATATTTTGTGAATTACAACCTGGGAGTAGGGCTAGCCGATACAGTGGTACCTCATTTTGAGTCCGGGATCTGTTCCGGAGCCCCGGATGCTCGATGAAAGGGACGCTCGACAAAGCGCAGCTTTGCGCATGAGCAATTTTGCACTTCTGCGTGTGCGCAAGCGACAAACCCAGAAGTAACCCGTTCCGGTACTTCTGGGTTTGCTGCAGACGTTCCACAAAATGGACGCTAAACAGCCCGGACTCACTACGAGGTACTACTGTATATCAATATATAGTCCAAAACCGGTATATCAATATATAGTCCAAAACCCTATTGTGATACTGGTTTTATAATTTTTGACCTGGCAATATATTATGCATCATGATTTGTGTGTGTATGTGTATTCGCGCTGTGCAGAAATCACAATGTAGGAAAAACCGTGAAGCCAGCCGTTCCCTCAACATAGCTCCATTGTTATTTCAGACATTGTGATATATCAGTATATTGCAACGTTTAGCTGGTGATATATCATGAAGTTGAAAACCAAATATCACCCAGCCCTACTGTTTGTGTCTACATAGTTCCATCCTTATTTCAGACATCATTATATATTGGTATATCACAATGTTTAGCTGGTGATATATTGCAGTGTTGACAACCAGATATTGCCCAACCCTACCTGAGAGTAGCATGTAAATATGTATGGTATTTCCCCCCAAAAAATTTGAAACAGTGCAGATATGAGAATGTATTATAGAATTTTGTTCTTTAGCATTTCTGACATTGTTACTACAGTGCAAATTGTGGAACTGATCTTTTTCCCTTATGCTTTTTTTTGTAGAGAGTCATGGACTCTGAAGAACAGGTACTGGTAATGTATCATAGATACTGGGATGAATACAGTAAAGGGGCAGACTATATGGACTGTTTATACAGGTAAATTTTGGAGAAAACATGTTAAAAGTGTAATTGATGCAAAAAAAATTATAGAAGAAAACTGAAGCTGTTGGGAGATGGACACAGTCACAATTTGATTTCAAAACTATGTTTAGGACAGGATTATGAAGTGCTTCCAGAATTATTTTATTTATGTAGGTTACAACATGTAGATGCTTCTCTTACTTACAAAACTCAGATTAATAAAAATATGACAACTAAAAAGATATTCTGTATGAAATATATTCTTTGTTGTGTGCATATATGCAGAAATGTGGGGTTTTATAAAGGTTTGTTTAGCTGTTAAATGACAGTTTAGATCAGCAGATGCGCAGGAAGAATGCGAGCAACTTGTCCATTTCCCTTGCAATTATACTATGCCTTTCAAGAGAAAGCCTTACTATCCTCTAGTGGATCCAGCAACCATAGATTTAGGATAAATATTTTTGGATAGTTTGTTGAATGCCTGTAGGATGGGCACCGAGTGATCTTATTTAACTAATTCATTTAAAGTAACGTAACAGTGGAATGGGAAAAGAGTTAATTGTGGCTCTTGGAGGAAGAACAAGAACAGGCTTCAGTTGCTATAAAAAGTGAGAGTGCACCCTGGTCTTAAACATGCTTCTATGGGCATAAACCCTGTTTCATAAATCCAGCAATGCACAAGCCTCTTCAGTACACAGCTAGGTTTCCAGTAGGCTTTCAGGTCTGCTCAAAGTTGAGGAAAACCATGTATATCAGGCTTCCATGTAATCAGGCATTCATGTGGTGGGTCTGCTTAAGAATGTAATAAAATCCTGTTGGATCAGAGCAATAGCTCCTCTAGTTTAGCATCCTGTTCTCACAGTAGCTGACCAGATGCATGTGGGAAACCCACAAGCAGAATTCAAGCACAAGAGCACTCTTCCCAGTTTCCAGGAACTGTTTTTGTTTTTTTTTTAGAAGCCCCCAACTGCAGCAGCAGAGCAGAGCCATCATGGCTGTAAACCACTTTGATATATCATAGAAATGAGGTCACTGTTATTCTTCTCTCCCTTAATTTTGACCCAAATGCTCTCACTTTGGCTTTGAGGTTCTAAATCTTGGATCTCTTCACAGGTATACACATCCCTGACATATAACGCCACTCATCCTCCTTTCTTGTCTTTCTTTTCATATATTTTTATGACACAGCAAATAATTTTATAAAGATTTATAATAATTATATCTAACACAGCCATTGTTTCCTGTGTGGTGTTGTCTTCTGCCTACAGCTCTATGATTTTGATAGTGAGATGTGTCTTTTTTTCCTGACCTAGATTTGCTTCAGAAAACATCTGAAAACACTCACAATATGTTTTGTTTTCATAGATACCTCAATACACAGTTTATTAAGAAGAACAAATTGACTGAAGCTGATCTTCAGTATGGTTATGGAGGTGTGGATATGAGTGAACCATTGATGGAGATTGGAGAGGTAGGCAGTCTATGGATGTTCTTCCAGAAAGTTAATAAGAAGTGCATTTAATTCTCTCTTCCTCACAATAACTTGCCATGGACACCTTTGTTGAAAACCGTATAGCCCATTTTGTTGGATCAGTAAAGTAAATGCCTCATTTATTGCCTTCGTAAGTCTTCATAGTGAGGCATTCAATGCTTTTATTGGTTTTTTAGCCAGCCTTAGTGAACAGACTATTGTTGTGTATTATTTACTTACTGAAATGAATATAGATTATACAGTATCTTGGTGGGATTGGTGGATACAGAAAGAGAAATGGGGCTCTGATGATAAAGAGCTGCAAAGAAAGAAGTACGAAATGCACAACACTCAATAATTTACAGTAGTGCCTTTAATATGAAGCTGACAAGAATAAGGGCTTGGTGAGGCATTGTTTTATTAACTTGTTTCATTAGAAGTGATGCTTGGGGTGGCATATACTTAAACCCTACATACATACTTTTCTCAAAGAGGAAAGTCTGATCTCTGAATGACACTCATCTCTGGACCCTGTTAATTGATCCCTGGAATTGACAAGTTTTTGCATCTCTGATGGAATAAAAGAAAGCCCAGATATAAGGAGGATTGTATTAGGGCTGTTTCACATGTAAAAAATAATAGTGGGTTGTATCCAAACCAACAGTGCAGTCCTATACATGTCTACTTAGAAGTAATCCCGATTGAGTGTAACGGAACTTACTCCTAGGTCAGTGTTTATAGGATTGCAGCCTATGCCTGCAACCTAACTACAATGACCTGGGAGTAAGTCCCCCCTTGGGAGGAGTCATAGTTCATGTTAGATTATCTGCTTTGCTGCCTGAAGGTCCCGTGTTAAATCCTCAGTATCTCCAGGTACGACTGGTAGAGATCTCTCTCTGAAACCTGGGAGAGCCGCTGGCAGTTATATCAAACTAGACTCTATATAAGACACCTTCTTATAACACTGATTACTTCTGAGTAGACACAGCTAGTTCATTGTGCAATAAGTTAGTTATCTATTCCCATTGATTGCAGTGGGAATTAACTTGCCCCATTGATTTCAACTAATTTAAGCCCAGTTTGCCATGGTTGGGCTTAGCGTTATGTGCAAAACATGAATGAGTAACCATGCAAGTGCATGGAGCAAAAATCATGGCCACTTTGATTCCCCCCACCCCTGTCCTGCTGCCCTCACATTTCCCAGAGCTCAGCTTTTGTGTCCGAACCAACTAGTGGTTTGTCTCCCCCAGACCAACCACGAGTGGTAAGGCAAGAACAAACCATGGCTATTGAGCGTACACTCAGAGGCAGCCTTAGTGTTACTACTGTTGGTTTCTTTTGCATTGTACACATGTGCAGCAGGCCAAAGAGGACCACTTTTCCTTTCTGCACATTCCAACAGTATTGTAAGGATTTTTCAAAAGAGAAATGCAGACTGGCTTTGAGTAGCCAAAGCTAATCTGAGGGGATGGTTGAGTTCGGTACTGGCTATTGTTGATCACAGGAGTTGGGAACCTGTGGCTTTCCAAATGTTATTGGACTTCAGCTCTCATCAGCCCCAGCCAGCAACACATATTTCCAAACCCTAGATTATTTTAATTTAATCTGCTATTTTCTACGTTTAAATACAATATTACCCTATTTTAATGCAATATTACCCTACTGAATCCTTTAGGATTGAGCAGTTTTTAATTCTAAAAAAATCTAAAATAAACAAATGAATCATCTGTGCCTGACATGTTTCTGTTGTGCATTTTTTCATAATAGCTAGCACTTGATATGTGGAGGAGGTTAATGATCGAGCCTTTACAGGCTGTCCTCATTCGAATGCTCCTCCGTGAAATCAAAAAGTGAGTTAATCCTTTTGTTGTTGTTGTTACTGCAAGTTGCCTGCTTTATATATGCTTACTTACTGTACTTACCCGAGATTTGTAATTTCTTGATTTAAGAACGTCACTATTCACTTCTTACTGTTGTTTCTTTAGATCGTAACTGGGTTTTTATATGTTGGCAACATATTCAGGGAAAGCAGAATCTTTTTTGAGATGTGAAATTGGCTCTAAAAGCAGGTAGTGTGTCCTAGTAAATAGAGGATGTTATTGGAGCCCTAAAGCCAGTGTTCATTTCTGCTACTTGCTGTGAAACCTTGATCTTGATCTAGTGATTTTGCAGTCTGGCCTAGAACATTTGAATCTATTGAATTACCATACAAATGTTGTACTTTTAAGTTACTTCAAAGTAGGCGTTATGGAGTATTGTATAAATGTTTTTCTTAAAAAGAGGACTGACACTAGATCTAGAATTCTTTCTGAAATTCTGAATGTATTACAGAACTGAGCAGCAGTACAAGCTTCAGCTACTTCTGTCAGTCAGCCTTGTTCCAGGGTAAGGCTCTGATTGCCAGCAATGTAAAATATTGCATATTCTATAGCTTGTTAGCAAATGCATAGAAAAGCCAACCGAGTCTAACCAACCAACCTTCTATATTTCACCATGCACTGAGGTTTCTTTGTGACCTCCTGTCCCAAAGCTCCTGTCAGGTGAAACAGAATTTGCCTTATGGCACCTTTACAGGAGTTGCGAAGAGCAGCCACAATCCAAGGCATAATTAAGTGTGCTTCAGTCCTGCTGATCTTGCAGGGCTTCCTTCCGCATGCTTAACTGTGCCCTAGGTTATATTTGGTATCATTTGCAAAAATAAATGCACAGGGACGAAGTGCCCTATAGCTCTAAGCAACAGTTTGGGGCAGATAACAGTAAAATCAAGCTTGAATGTGCTCTTTAAAGCTCACATATGGAAGTAGCTTCTCTGAGCATACGAACAGAGGATTCCCATCTTCCTGGATGGCTGTTTCATAGAAACCAGTTCTTTTTGACAATTAAAAAAATAATTAAACTCCAGGGCCAAGTCATGACTCTTCCGTTACTTTTAAGAAGTGCAGGAGAGGAAATAAAAATATATACTCCCAATAGGAGTTTGCTCCTTGGGGCTGCTGTGAAACCTGCAGTGACCCAGTGCTCAGCAACTGAGGCAGAATTGTAAAGTTAGCAGTCCTGTGGCCACGATCCTGAGTACCACCAGATTTGTTCTGTGTGTACTGGCATTTGCATGATCACTGTCTTCCACTAGGACATATCTTGCCCTTTTTATCCTGAATTTTAACTTCCTTTTCTTTTCATGTAAAGCTGTTCTTGATTGCTTCTTACTGTCCTGATCTAAGATCTATAGAAGCTGCTATAGTTTGTACGGAGGACTCTTCAGGTTGGCCTCTGCCTGCCCCTAATGTTTTTTCTCCTACCTAGCCTCTTGAATATTGTGCGGGTTATCAGTTTCTGTTTTGCAGATGTACGTGTTGGTGTTTTAGTGGCCAGAAGGTTTTGTGTGTTTCAGTTTGCAACTGTTGAAGGCAGAGATGTAGAAACGATATCATGTTTAAAAGAATGCAATAGAACTTTTGCATATTGGGCAGCTGGCACATGTACTGTAGTAGTTTCATGAGTTCACGTGCCCCCTTCATATACAGACAAGTGTCATATCTGATGAAGAAAAGGTTCTGATGTTTACTTCCATAGGCATGCTAGGCAGTTTGTGGTCATCTTAACTGACATGGTGAAAGGGGTGGGGAGAAATCTCTGCATAAGAACACCTGATACTTCTTTTAGTTAAGCTCAGCCACAGACATTTCTTCAGATGTTAATGCTTCAATCCTAACCACACATAACTGGAAGTAAACCCCACTGAAATCAACAGGGCTTGTTTCTGAGTAAGCATGGCTATGATTGTGCTGTAAGAAGTTTATATGTGGTAACCTTCACATTCACAATTAGTTCCGGACTTCCAGATATGAGTAACTCCATAGAACCGAGAGCTGACAGCCCAGAGGCTGGTTCAGTTTGAATTAGGGTTTCCCGTAGAACTGTCTGTGGATAGTTTTTTTTCCTTACATTTTTTATTATTCTTGATTTTGTTATTATATTGTTCTTCAGCACACACAAAAGCCTCCCAGAATGGCTTACAATTATCAGTGAGATGACAGTTCCTCAGAAATACAATCTAAGAGGCATGACACAAAAAGAAAAGGGGAGTGGGAATGACTTGGATATCCTGGGCCAATTCCTTGCGCCAGAGCTTCATGTGACATAGGTTATATTTCATAAAATGTTAGAGTGGGGACAGACACAAAGGGTCATCTAATCCAAGCCCCTGCAGTGCTGGAATTTGGTCCTAGGTAGTCACCAGTTGGGACGCAGGTGGCGCTGTGATCTAAACCACTGAGCCTAGAGCTTGCTGATCGGAAGGTCGGTGGTTCGAATCCCCGCGACTGGGTGAACTCCTGTTGTTCGGTCCCAGCTCCTGCCCACCTAGCAGTTTGAAAGCAAGTCAAAGTGCAAGTAGATAAATAGGTACCACTCCGGCGGGAAGGTAAACGGCGTTTCCGTACTCTGCTCTGGTTTCGCCAGAAGCAGGTTAGTCTTGCTGGCCACATGACCCAGAAGCTGTCTGCGGACAAACGCCGGCTCCCTCGGCCTATAGAGCGAGATGAGCATGCAACCCCTGGACCTAACGGTCAGGGGTACCTTTACCTTTAGTCACCAATTAGAATTGTGTTCTATGGAACTTAACATTTCCTTGTGACAGTGAGCCAGACATTGTCATGCAGGTTTGCGGCTTGAAATCAGTGCATCTTACCAAGAGAAGAGGCAACCAGTCACGAGGAAGCATTCCATTTGCCTCTTGTTAAGCTTAGTTGTTCTGTGGCTCTTTCTGTGACAGTCTCATGCTTGCGTGTACTGTAGTCAGGGAAAGATTAGCACAGGCATAAGTGAAAGACCAAGGAACAAATCTGGAGAACAAAAGTTATACCTAACTGATTATCTTCTTAGGTTATGATTCAGTTGGCCTCAAGTTCACTCCTGGACGGGGAGGAAGAGGCATGCTGGCAAGAGTTGTCCCATTTAGCACGACACCTTGCAGGGTTCTAAATTGTGCGAGGAATTCTTGGAGGGCTCCAGGAGGGGTTGCAAAGACATGCAGCGGGATGTGCAGAAAGGCGTAGAGCTTGCTACCGCACCCCTGCTATCTGTTGCATGATGATAATGAGCACGTTAGAATACAGCTTGTGTCAAAGTGTAGCTGCAATGGTTTATACATTTGCCTGCCTCAAATGAAGCTCTTTTTCTGTTTTGAAACTACCATAGGGAAGCCTAAAGCAAGTCCCTCTCAGATTTTAAGACACTTTTGGATTTGCCATTTGCTTGGGTTTAATTTTTGTCCTTTAGAAGCCCACCTTCTGCTTTTTTGCTGCCTGTTCAAGGAAGGTGGGAGGAAACTGAAGGTCTGCTACTTGTTGCTTCCAAGCCATTAGGTCAATTTTTTGTCTGTTTATTTTCGCTCTGTTCAGTCTCGAGGGTACCAGTTTTGGTGGCAACACTGCTTTCAAGTTTTAATCTGCTTGGCATAAATAAGAATGTAAGGTCAGTGTAAGGTGTCAGCTATTAAACATCGAAGCCATCCTTCCCCCCTTTTCCTGTTCTTAATATGTGGTGGAATGAAAACACATTTCTCTTGACTCTCTTCCTGCTGTTGTGCACTTTTGCCTGCATCATATAATGGTGTCAGAACTCCTTATCCTTAGCCTGCAATGTGGGATGTAGTTGGAATATTGTACAGTATACCTTGAACTTTCTCCTCTTTCTTGGTCTACCTTGCTCTCCTCCACTCTTCTCTCTCTCATGCTTTTGCCTCACCTTGAAAACATTTTAAAAGGAAAAAGTGGACTGTGGCTTGTTCAACCCACCATAGGTGAGCAAGCCAGCCTGGCTACAGGTCACCCTCACCTGTTTATCAGGTGTGAATGCTCATTGCCCTCTGGCGAGAAGGACTCTCAGAAGCCTCAGTTGCATTGTAGTTTGGATAATAAAAGAAACATTTCTCCTAATGTTTTTTTCTCCCCTTACCCAAATCTTGTGTGCAAGTGAGGCAAGACTCTGCCTGCTTCCGCTAGCAAGAAAGCCATGCTTTCTGGAAAGCTTGAATAATTGATAGTAAGGAGAAATTGAGGCTTCCCTTCTGTTCTCAGTAAGAAATAGCCCAGCTTCTGCCTCCCTGAGCTCTGGCCAAGAAATCCAAAGGTGATCGAGAAGCACTTTATAAATTTTAAAAATTAAAATGAGGTGCCAAGTTCCATTTCAAATGAAATATGCTTGGGTAGTATTACAGAAATAGTATTTTAAGATATTATTACATATTTTTTGATGGTATTAAACAAGCATACAGTTTTTAAATAATTTTAAGGTAGACGCACTAACAAAGATTACCTGTATTTTGGTTTTGGCTGTTTTGCGTTGAGAGGTCTTAGTGCTTCAGAAGGGGTGGGAATGGGGAAAGAGATCCAAAGACTTTGCCTGAGGACTGGGAGAGTACAAGCCTGCACTTTGAAATAGGTGTCAGTTTGCATTTCGCTTTTTCCACTAATGAAGTGTAGTCAATGCGGTTCCCTCCAGATGCTGCAGTCCAGCCACTCCCATCGGCCCCAGCCAGGGAGCTTTGAGGTTGTAGCCCCATAACATGTGCAGAGCCCCACACTGGCTACCCCTGCATTACATATGCACTCCCCAAAGGGTTTGTGAATTGAACAGCGCAGACAGCAGACTGCTTGGTCCTTGAAAAGGCTACCAACAGCCAGGCCTATTTGTCTTTCTGGTTTTGAAGTCTGGACCATGTGTAAAATTGCATGCATTATGAGAGCTTCTTTTTTCCACCTTTCAGTGATCGCTGTGGAGAAGATCCAAATCAAAAAGTAATCCATGGGGTTATTAACTCCTTTGTTCATGTTGAACAGTATAAGAAGAAATTCCCTCTGAAGGTAAAAGATCCTTTCTTTCTTTTTTCTTTCATTGTCTTGGCTTATTGTGGCAATTGTTCCATCCCTTGCCTTATTTGTACTTGATCACCCTCTCTCATTTTAGTTTTATCAGGAAATTTTTGAGTGTCCTTTTCTGAATGAAACAGGGGAGTATTATAAACAAGAAGCTTCAAATTTAATGCAAGAGTCAAACTGCTCACAGTATATGGAAAAGGTAAGGCACTCATATTTATGTGCAGCATAGATGCCAATTATTCAGTGTTCCTCGAGAGAAAATATACACCAGCTCATTGGTTTCTGTACATCATAGGCAGGGCCATCTCGGGGAGTATGGGGCGACTGCCCTGGGCCCTGCACTTTAGGGGTTCTGCACCTCATGCCAGTGACCATCGTTCACTGCCAACGCTTTTGCCTCTTTCTCACCTGTGGGAGGCTTTGTACCATCTCCCTTCCTTGAAAAAGGCAGGCAGGGAGGAGGTGGGTCCCCCTTGTATATACTGGCACTGCCAGGAAAAGGAAAAATATAAGCCAGGGTAGAGGTTGCCACCATTAAAAGGCAGCAAAACAACCAAAATTAAGGCAAGTGGGAGGGGCTAGCATACTCCGCAAGTTATGTTCATAGGATCACTTTGAAAGCACTTTGCATTCTGTAAACTTTATCATTTGGGGATCATTTGACCCCTGGATTGTCAGCTTCCATGGCATATGAGAAATGTGGGTGAGCAACCTGTGCGGCAGTGGAACTTGACCATTTTCAGGGATGAGGCTCAGCTTTCTTGCCCCCTAGCAAGGTGGAGTGCTACCCTTGGGTTCTGGAGTTGTGGACCTTGGCACGATTTATTAAGGCACTTAACATGCTCCTCATATCCAGCCACCTGCCACCAGGCAGTGGAGAAACCCAAAATAGGGCTTCTAAAGTTGATCTGAGTGCTAAAAGTTTTTTGGTAGGGTGAAGAGGATATCCATTTGCAATGGAGATATCTAGCAACTGATTGCTTTTTTATTTTTCTAAGTAGGTTCCATTCTTCAAATGCAGCTGACTTCTAATGCTGATTTATAAGAGAGATATTCAGAAGGCCTATTTCCATTCAGAGATCTCATGCTGTCCATATGGACAATCATGCATAGCTGATGATAGTTGAGAGAACTTAAGAAGATTGCAATAAATTTGATTAGCATCCTAAAGAGTCAGGATAAGGTCCACTGTTCTTTCTGTTTCAAGAATATGAGCAATTGTGACAGGAGTTTGCAGTGTATTGGGGCATCCATTCTGCCTAAATACCGTATTTTTTGCACCATAACACTCACTTTGTTCCTCCTAGAAAGTAAGGGGAAATGTCTGTGCGTGTTATAGATGAAATGCCTACGGGTGGCATGCCTACGGATTTTCCTCCTCTAAAAACTATGTGCGTGTTATGGTCGGGCGCGTGTTATAGAGCGAAAAATACGATAGTTCCCTTGGTCATAATTTGTTTCTGTTACTTTAAACTTGAATGTTTGTTCTGCCCCTAATTAACCATGCAGTGCTTCGTTTTGTTCTCCCATCTCAAAAAATTCTTTTAGGTTTTATGTAGATTAAAAGATGAAGAAATGAGGTGTCGAAAATATCTACACCCCAGTTCCTATGGCAAAGTAATTAATGAATGCCAACAGCGAATGGTAGCAGATCACTTACAGTTCCTTCACGCAGAATGCCATAACATTATCCGACAAGAGAAGAGAAACGGTAAAGACATACAGGGTGATTAAGTTTGAATTCAAAATATAATATACCTTTTTAATATTTTTAATTGAATTTATAGTCACCTATGTTGTTTTCTAGTATAAATAAGCATAGTGATCCAGGAAGGGACACTCTCGAGTGTCTTGATCGGGGGGAACCCTTTTGGCTCCACAGAGTAGATCCTTGTCAGGATCAGCCTCATGGGTCAGAATTGACAAGTGGGCAGCCTACCTACATGCTTATCACGTGATGTCATTATGATGTGACATGATTAACAAAAAGGTTTTCCTGCACACCAGAATCTCTTGCGGGGCTTCCAAGCACCCATTGCCACTAAGGGAAACCTGAGAAAGAAGGCTGCAATGCTATCAATGTTTCCCACTTCTGAGAGAAGGGAAAACTATGGACCTACACTTCGTCCAAGGGCTTTGGTGGTGTTGTGCAGGAAGCATCTCCTCAGTGCTGCTCAGTCAATACCTGTGTGGGGAGCAAACCTTCATTTGTCCATGCCTATAGGTCCTTCATGCACCCATTGCAGCATCTCTTCCTTTAGAGCTAGGAACCACCAGTATGGTGCCTTTGAACAAAACTCCATCCAGCACATACAAGTCCCCTGCAAAATAGTTCTCAGGACTATTTTGTGTTTTCCACATCCATTGGAATTGATTACTTGTATTATTTGTTTCAAAATAATATCCTGAGCTTGTGGCCCTTGCAGTTATGGACCACATCTGGTTAGAGACCAGAATTTCTTGTACTACTCCAGAATCTGAATTTGCCTCAGTCTTAGTCCCATCATAAGCTCTGGGCAAAGTGTCTTCAGTTACTAAGCATTTACCAGAGCTATATTCCGGTTGCAAATCATCTGATTGTAATTCAGAAAACAGTCTGTCTAACCTGGAAGATGTATCTGCTAAACTCCATTTTGCAGCTCTACCAATTTCTTGTGGTCTGCTTCTGCCAATATTGGTTGTTCATATATTAAAATATGAAATTATTTTGAAGTTTGCTATGCCCATAAATTTTTGCTAGTCCTCTTTAGCTGCTGGTGGTAGCGTGTTAGTGATTGCTTGGATTCTTTTGGGATCAGTGTTACTTTTCTCCTAGGTGGGTTATTTCCTTAACTCTAAATCTTCATTTTTGTCTATTTCAAGCCAGCTTTACAAGCTCTTTCCAGAGCCTTCTGTAGTCTCTGGTTATGTTCATCTAATGTTCTCCTCCATATCAGAACAGCATTGATATAAACTTTAGTACCTTCAGGCCCTTCAAAGATTTGTTGTATCTTTCTATGAAAGAGTTCAGAGGTGGAACAAATTCCAAAAGGCAATCTAGTAAAGCAATGCCTACAAAAAGGAATATTGAAAACATACAGTCATTTACTATTTTGTTCTAGGGGCACCTTCCCGAATCCAGAAGATTCATTCAAATATGAAATAAATGTTGCACTTGCCATTTAACCAAAGACTTCCTCTCTAGTAGGAATTGGAAAATGTTCTCTCAACTTATTTGTTCAGTTCTTTAGGATCCAGACACAGCCGTAGGGATCCATCTTTTTTTGTAACTATGACTAGAGAGTGAACCCATTCTTTGGGTTCTTCAACTTCCTCTATAATGTCAAGTTTAATTAGTCTATCTAGTTCCTCTTTTATCTCTAAGAGCCAGCCGGACATTCCTGGATGCATGTATAACTTGAAAATAGGGTTCAAACCGTTTCTTTTATAATCTGCTGAGAGCTTACCAGTGCCAATAAAGACACATGATCTTCAGTGTTCATGTGACCCTGTCATTCTGCACTGTACAACTTCTTAATAAAATCTAGAATCTGACATGTTTTTCAGTCCCAATATAGGTATCCCATTTCCAGCAACAACAACTACAGATGATAACTTTACCATTTTGTTGCTTACTTGAACATCAGTTTTCCAAATTCCCCTAGTTCAAATAAGCTTTCCACTTTTAAGTTTTAAGTTGGAGCTGTTTGCATGCTGTATGGCTTGGCTTTCTCTCCCAAGTCTTTCACAGCAGCCTCAGATACAGATACATTTATTTGAGCTCCAGTATCCAATTTGTAAGTAACAAAAGTCCCATTTGTATTCAGAGTCCAGTCCAGTAACTGAATCCTGATGCCTCTGGAAGACTTCCCAAATAAAAGTTTTCTCCTGTGCTGGTGCTGTAATCCTCTTTGTTTCGATCTGAGCCCAGTCTGTGCTTGCCTTCAAACCTTTGCAAAGTGAATTTGTTCTTTGCAAAAGTTGCAGGTCTTTCCAAATGCAGGACATTGGCTGGGTCTATGTCTGCTCCTACAGTGTGAACACTCAGTTATGCAGGAATTGCCAGAAAGAGGCGCCATCCAACCACCTTAGGGACTGCACTCTGGGTTTGTGTTGGGTTTACTCCTTGGCCTTTTCCTCTCCTGATGATGTCCCACAAGGCAGTGGGATGCGGATTATTTCTCAGGATTTACTCCCAAAGTATAGCCACAAGGCAGCCAAGGTTTAAGATTAGAGTTTTCTTTCTCCTAGATGGGCTACCTTTCCAGGTTGATGAGCCCCATCTGTCCCTCACTTCCCTCTACAGCACTTGCAGAAACCACATTCTTTACCTTTGGACCCGCTATTGGTCTTGTCTATTCTGTGTGGCAGATTGACTGGACAAGTCCCTAATTTACCAAGGGTTTAAGACCCATTGGCTACCCTTACTTAGTTTAGCTGGCCAGCCGTAGCCATTCCTGGGATGTGGATACAGTTGCATGCCAACAGTTTTAGGAACCACAGGTAAGAGCTGAGTCCAGGGTGGGGACCAAAGGTGGACAAACTACCCCAGAAACAGCACAACGGATCTCCCAGCAGACGTACTCTCCCAACACCCCATATATCCCTACAAAATTACATGTCTTGCTTTACAGTCTAAGATGTGCAATAAAGGATTCAAATGTTTCCCCAGCCTTTTGTACTCTCCTATGAAACTGGTAGAGACGTAGGTGGCGCTGCGGGTTAAACCACAGAGCCATGGGCTTGCTGATCAGAAGGTTGGCAGTTCGAATCCCCGCGATGGGTTGAGCTCCCGTTGCTCAGTCCCTGCTCCTGCCAACCTAGCAGTTCGAAAGCACCTCAAAGTGCAAGTAGATAAATAGGTACCGCTCCGGCGGGAAGGTAAACGGTGTTTCCGTGCCCTGCTCTGGTTCTCCAGAAGCGGCTTAGTCATGCTGGCCACATGACCTGGAAGCTGTACGCCGGCTCCCTCGGCCAATAAAGCGAGATGAGCGCCGCAACCCCAGAGTCGGTCACGACTGGACCTAATGGTCAGGGGTCCCTTTACCTTTATGAAACTGGTATCTCTCGAAGTTTTCATTTGTCTGCAACGTGGTCTCATAATTAGTTAGTTCTTCACTCAGTTGCTAATTGAGTCAATAAAGCTAACGCCTCTCACCTATCAATATTTAGAAAACTAGCTGCCTTCTGCTCTCTATCTTTCTCTGTAGCCCCACTTGCTTTCATAAAGAGGTCAAAATCTTGCCTGAATCTTTTCCAGCACTCTGCTGCATTCCTGGAGCAAGCAAGAGGTTCTGGAGTTACTAGATGCTCCATCTTTTTTTCTTATTTAAAAAAAATCTCCCTCCCTCCCTGGTCTTTTGTATCTTTTCCACCTTCTTTGTTACTCTGTGCAGTCAGTCCGGCCTGCGCCCAACCACTTCTGGTGCCATGTGTTGTTCTTTGATTAATAACTTTCAGAATCCAGGATGTCCATAAACATAATATAAACTTTATTAACTTGCAAAATGAGGAGTCTCTGTTAAAGGAAGCCATAGCTTCTCTATTGCTGCATCATTCTATCCAGAGGCTCCTTCCAGTCTCACCTGACTTGCTTAAGCACAACCACTTAAAGAGATAGTGTCCTCACAATAAGCTTCCTTGTCGCAAGTAATCTCAATAACACAGGGTTGTAACCTACTGAGGTCTTCTGTAGCACTGGAAGGAATCCACATATACTTGATGATTCAGTATCACAGCTCAGCAATCTGTTCCAGGGCAATTTTGTCATTTTGTCTATAGCATCGTCTCACACATCGTAACAAAGTTTCATAGTATTTTCTAGCAGAAACATTGGTAACAATATATTCACACATTACTTTAAAGCAATTCTGTAAGCAAGTGCTCTTTCTGATACATAACATCCATACAGAATACAATTTCTGAATACATCAAAGGTTTAGAAATACACCTTGAAGCTAGAAGAATGTTGTGCTGTTATTGCCCATGTTGGGAAGCAGAGGTGGTGAGCCTGTGACTCTCTTGATGTTGATAGACTACAATTCCATCATCCCTGAGCATTGGCCATGCAGGCTGGGCCTGATGGGAGTTGGAGTCCAACGATGTCTGGAGGACCACAGGTTCTTCACTGGTGCTGTTTTGAGTGACTTACGATAGCTTAACCAGTGCTTGCTCAGGTGGTGGTGGTCTAGGATATGTAAAGTAATGAGAATTGGGGGGGGGGGGTGTTCCTAATTTTTGTAAACTGCTCTGAGAGCCTTTCTGCTTTAATTTCAGTTAATTTTCATATTAATTAAGCAGGCATGTCCACCTCCCAAGAGACTGCAATCTACTCCCAGTATAAAAAAAGCTGGCAGTGATTTGACCAAAGTTGAGTTTTTTTTGGGGGGGGGGAATCAATCAGGATAACGGGATCGACCATGGATGTCCCATAATCGATCGGTCGATCACGATCGACCCATTGGACACCCCTGAATTACAGCATAGTCTTGACCACAGCCTCTCCTTTCCCTGTTGCAGTTTTGCCAAATTTGCATGTATGTGGTGCCTTCACTTTTTAGTATCATTATGCTGTTTAAACATTGATGTGGTTATAGTGATTTTTTTTTTTAGTACATCTGAAAACCTGGACCTTCCTTTTTTGCAGACATGGCAAATATGTACACGTTGCTTCATGCTGTGCCAAGTGGATTACCTCATATGATTCAGGAACTACAAAATCATATCCATGATGAGGGCCTTAGAGCAACCAGCAATCTCTCTCAGGAAAACGTAAGTTTTGTCTTCAATGGGAATAGCGTGGAATTTCTGATCAATCTAAGCATAAAGATGATGTTGTGGGGGTGCTTCTATAAGGTTGTCGCCATTTAGTCTATACTAAATCTGTGTGCTTTCTTTGCTGCCATTTTTGTTTTTTCACAAGAGCTAGTGGTTTAGCATACAGTGGGATAGAAACTATTATTATAGCCATGGCATTCCTTTATTACTGAACATGTCATCAGTGTAAGAAAGTCTACTGTGTTTCTGACCCTGCCAAAAATGATTACATGGTAGTAGCGCTCCTCACTACTCTTTCTAACACAGTGTGAAATCTGACATTTGTTAATATGCTCATGTGTCCTTTAGTATTCATGCACCCAGGGAACCAATAGAATGGAACTAGCTTAAAGTAAATGCATTTATAGCTGCAGTTTGCTGCCAATCTTTCAATAAGAGAGGTGCAATCACTACATTTCTATATGAGACATGTAACTGTACTTATTGCTAGCATAAACTAATGCAACGTGAATTCTGTGATGCACAGTTGTGTAAATTGAGCACAGCAAATATTCCCTGGAGGTTGTATTATTCTGTTACATTTTCACACCCTAGTACCTGGGAATAAGCCACATCAAATCCAGTAGGACTTACTTCTGAGTAGACATTATAGGTCCTGTGCTGCACTTCACATTTTCTCTCTGGCATAATTCCCAACACCTTTTGGCCAAGCAAAGTGCCTGTTTGTAATATTACTCTGTTGCATTTGGAAAAAAATACATACCTGTGATTCTATCCTCAGATGCCCACTCAGTTTGTGGAGTCAGTGTTGGAAGTACACAGTAAATTTGTTCAGCTCATCAGCAGCGTTTTGAACGGTGACCAGCGATTTATGAGTGCCCTTGACAAGGTAAGCCTAGTGAAAAGGCTTCGTCTATCAAATAATTGTAATTGTAAGGAACATAATTTATGAGGAATCCTACCTGTTGCATTGAATAGTGAAATTGAATGTCAGTTGTGAATATGGCTTGATGCATCATAAATTGGTATAAATGATTTCACCTGACATAAAGTAATTGGAACAGGATGGCTATCTAATGTTTTCAAGTCAATTTGGAAGCAAAATCAAATAAATAAGCACAGGTTTCCTTAAACATATAAGTCTTTGGTACATGGGTGTCATTGTATAAAACCAGATAGTGGAAACCTTTGGTCCTCCAGATGTTGTTGGACTACAAGTCCCATCACCTCTGCCCACTGACCATTATTAAGGCTGATGGCAGTTGTAGTTCAGTAAGATCAGGAGGGCCATAGGTTTCCCACACCTGTGCCAAACTAATCTTCCACACTGTGTTAGATGGATAAAAGAGAGAACCATTCACATGTGCTTCAGGATCTAATGTCAACAAACCATTCGTGGATTGTGTTTACTGGGAAACTCACAAGCATAATCCATGGTCCTGAATTACACATGCTCATTGGCTTTTCGTAGTCATCTACAGTGGTCTGTCCATAGGTTTCTATCCCAATAAATGAGCAGTTATGGAAAATGCGCACAAATTTGGAATTGGAGGCATAGGTCAATGTGGTCAGTACCATTGTGGATTTTTTAATCATTCAGTTATGAGAAGTATACTCCTTTTGGTGATACAGTGTTTTAAATACTTGCAATCCTTGCTTGCAGGTACACTTACCGTAATTTTCGCTCTATAGGACGCACTTTTTCCCCTCCAAAAATGAAGGGGAAATGTGTGTGCGTCCTATGGAGCGAATGCAGGCTTTCGCTGAAGCCTGGAGAGCGAGAGGGGTCGGTGTGCACCGACCCCTCTCGCTCTCCAGGCTTCAGGAAGCTATCCGCAAGCCTTTGGAGCGCGGCGGGAGTTCCTGCTGGGCTCCCTAGGCTTGCGGATAGCAGCCTGCTTCCCGAAGACCGGGGAGCGCTTTGCAGCACACCCCGGGCTTCGGGCAGATATCCGCAAGCCATGGGAGCCCGGCGGGGACACCCGCCGGGCTCCCAAGGCTTGCGGATAGCAGCCTGCATCCCGAAGCCCAGAGAGCGCAGAGCTGGGCTCTCCGGGCTTCGGGCAACTATCCGCAAGCCTTCTGAGCGCGGGGGAGTTCCCGCCGGGCTCCGAAGGCTTGCGGATAGCAGCCTGTTCTGGGGGCTGGGGTTGGGGGAAGCTCGGGCTTCCCCCGTCCCAGCCCCGCGCCTGGGGGGGGGGAATAATTTTTTTTCTTTATTCCCCCCCCCAAAAAAAAAACTAGGTGTGCCCTATGGGCCGGTGCACCCTATAGAGCAAACAATACGGTAATTATCATACGATGGTATTGCATTTTTAAAAATCCTGCTTATTATCACAAAATACCTGTAAGTTCATTGCACGTTGGAAGGAGACTAACTCCTTTCTAACCTACTTGTATTAGGTTTGTATCCAGTACTAGTCCTACTTGGAGTAGACCTGTTGAAGTTAATGGGCATGGCTTAGTTTCATTTACTTCATTGGGTCTCTTCTGAACCTGTCTAGCACTGAATATAACCCACAATTTCTAAAATCTTGGAAATCTAGTTTTTGGTGTTCCTAAAACACATATCCTTTGCAGACATTGAATGCAGTCCTTAATAACAGACACCCATATTCATGTCTCCCAGCATGCTTTGCATCTAGCAGCTATACTGTTCCCCAGTATTGTCCTGAGACTTTCTTAAAAGCAGTTACTTGAATGTTTCAGTCTTGAGTTAGTGGGAAGGGCTTGACTTTTCACCTTTACGTTTTACACTAGGTTTACCCAGTGGCCAGAGCAGGGGGTTTTTTGTGTGTGTTGTTTTTGTGTGTATACCTGATATACACTTTTGTACCTTACAGTACACTGCTAGGACCCAATAAATGTTTAGTAATCAAAAACAGTTGTGAAGAGCTTGATTTTGCCAGGATCTAGTTGAAGAAGCATGACAGAGCCTATATACATTTGTTGGGGACCCACTTGGAATGGCTCTGATATTATGTATGACCATGTGAGTGGGGCTGATACATTTCTTGTGTTCCGAAATAGGCCTTGACATCCGTAGTGAACTATAGGGAACCAAAGTCTATCTGCAAAGCTCCTGAGCTGGTAAGTACCAGATACTTGTTTAAAGTGTTTAGATGTAAGCATTAACTTTATTAAGGTAACATCCTGTGATTTTTCAAAGGCTTTTCCAAACTAGTGCATCTAAGTACTGAGATGCCCTGTTGAGGCAAAATGGTCCTTGCTTTGTCTTAACCAGGAGTAGGCAACCTAAGGCCCGTGGGCCGGATGCGGCCCAATCGCCTTCTAAATCTGGCCCGCGGACGGTCTGGGAATCAGTGTGTTTTTACATGAGTAGAATATGTCCTTTTATTTAAAATGCATCTCTGGGTTATTTGTGGGGCATAGGAATTCGTTCATTTCCCCCCAAAAAATATAGCCCGTCCCACCACATGGTCTGAGGGACAGTGGGCCCACAGCTGAAAAAGTTTGCTGACTCCTGGTTTAGAGAATGCAAAATGCTTTCTTTCCATGATCTTATGAACATAACTATGTCTGTTTGTCAATTTATAGTTTGTTTATTTGATTGCATGTATGTTTGTTGGTTGGTTGGTTGGTTGGTTGGTTGGTTTGCTTTCCTGGCATAAATGTATCTATTTTAAAACAATAAAGATATACATTTAAAAAAAAAATGGTTGCTGACCCCTGTTCTTAACATACAAGTATGGTGGGACACCTGTGTGCCCTCCAAATATTGTAGGATGCCAGCTCCCATCAGCCCTAGACAGCATGGCTGGTGGTAAACCAGTATCATCTAGAAGACTGCTGGTTGCCCATCCTTGACTTACAAGCCTGTTTTTAACAATAACTGAAAGTGTGTGTGAAGCTCTTTGGACACTTGATCTGTGCATTCTTAAAAGTACTCGCCGTGGCACGTCCCTTTTGCAAAAGAAGACACAACTATGCTGCCTTAACTACGTTCTTAGTCCCCCCTTAATACTATTCTGCTTGACGAATGTCCTTTTCTTCTTTCTTTACACTTGAGCTGGCCAAGTATTGTGACAACTTGCTAAAAAAATCCGCAAAAGGCATGACAGAAAATGAAGTAGAAGACAAACTTACTAGCTTCATTACTGTTTTCAAATACATTGACGACAAAGATGTTTTCCAAAAAGTAAGTAATCGCTTTAAAAAAATTATTTATATTCTGGTTTTTTCCTCTCTCGGAGAGTGTCTTGAAATCTGAACTCTTGCTCTTCTTCTATACAGTTCTATGCCAGAATGTTGGCAAAACGACTTATACATGGTTTGTCTATGTCCATGGACTCTGAAGAAGCTATGATTAACAAATTGAAGGTAATTTCCAGCTTACTAGAACAGTAAAATCAACAGTACAGTAGTAGCCGTTCTTGACACTTTTAAGCTGCTACTAAGCTGATTCTGACGAAATGTCCCTAAACATGCTTATTTTAGGAACCTGCTTTTAATTGTGCTTATAAAATCATACGATTGCAAACCCACCCCCACCCCCCGAAAAGCTTCTGGTGGGATTGTCCAGTCTGTACGTTTTATCTGAGAATTAGCTAGCCGATGCTTGTCATTTTAAAAACCAACCAGCAGATGGTGCCCAAAAGCTGCAAGCTGACAAATTGCATTCCTTGCCATTCTCAGTACAGCTGAGATGTCCAGATGTTATTGGAGCCTCAACTCCTGCCAACCCCAGCCTGCCTGGCCAATGGCTATGGGTGATGGGAGTTGTTGTTGTAGTACAACAACATGTGGTCACAGCTTCCCCACCCGTTGTGGAGCTTTTGCTGCCTGAAATATGCATCTTAATTTTGTCTGCTACCACAGTCTGGTTCTGCAGAGCTCATCAGCTGGTATCTTGGGAACAGCCAAAACTAGTCCTGGCACTGCTGCGATCAGTGTGTATATGGCTGTTGGTTCTGTTTGTTGAGCCTCATGGCACCACTTAGGTTGAGCACCTCCTTGCCCTCATGCCTAAAGCCCTTTTAGGTGGTTTTCTGGATTACAGTCGAGGGTGTGAGCATATCTGCTATATTATCAGGTAGCTTTTAAAAGAGAAATACAGTTTCAACCCCAGTGTCACCGCACTTCCAACCCCAAGTGCTGTAGTGGTTTTACAGCTTGTCCTCAAAAGTAAAGATGGTGTGCCTGTTCAGTATTTATGCTGTAGCTCTTTAAAACACAAGCTGGCTACTCACTTGCTGACTGCCTATGTGTGCCTTAACTACAAATCTTGTATGTGCATTTTTTGTTTTCCAGCAAGCCTGTGGTTATGAGTTTACTAGCAAGCTTCATCGAATGTATACAGACATGAGTGTCAGTGCAGATCTTAACAACAAATTCAACAACTTCATAAAAAATCAGGACACCGTCGTAGATTTGGGAATTAGTTTTCAGATATATGTTCTTCAGGTATTTGAGGCGTGTGCTTGTGTGTGTGTGTGTGTGTGTGTGTGTGTGTGTTGCTTCATTTCAAATAGCCTTCTTCATGCATTCAGGGTGAACACATGTGGCCTTAAAGTGGAGATGGGTCATGGGAGTGAGCATGCAGGCCTTGCTGCTAATATTGTTGTGCATGTCTGTTCCAATTCAGAAATAAGAATAATTATTATTATTATTTATACCCTGCCCATCTAACTGGGTTTCCCCAACCACTCTGGGTGGCTGCCAACCGAATATTAAAAACACAATACAGTACAGCATTATACATTAAAAACTTCTCTAAACAGGGCTGCCTTCAGATGTCTTTTCAAAGTAAAATAGTTGCTTATTGCCTTGACATCTGCTGGGAGGGCGTTCCCACATTCAGTGCATTGGGACTGGGGTTTGCATGTGCATAGTCTCTCGCTCCCCACTTTAAGCCCATTTGTGTTCACTCTGAATGTCTGAGTACAGTTAGTGTGGCCAAGCTATATGTGTGATAGGGAGCACCACTTATGAAGGAGCAACTGGGAGTGTGTTCAAAACTCCCAGGTGTCCCTGTATAATTGTGTCCAGAAATTCAGATATGGGGTAGATGGGTGTGGTTTGTGGGGAACGTCCTTGCAGGCCAAATTGGGACCCATGTTAGCAGGCCTGCTTTAAACCAAGGCTCGAAGCATTTCACTCAACTCCGGGGACAAGGTGGCAAGAGCAGAAAAGCAGAGTGATCACAACCAGGTATAGCTTGGATGGATGCAGTATGGGAGGATAAACAGTATGTGCCCGAACAGTCAATCTCTAGTCAACCCAGCCTTCCTTCCTTGGTTGCTAGTAGGGAAAGCAGCCATAGTTTTCAGCCTGTAGCAATCAAGACTGAAACCCTTATCAGCTGGCTTTGACAGATGGGAGAGTCCTGGCTTTCTCTGCTTTGGAGCCAAGTCTTCCTATGTGGGGAGCTTTTGTTTTGTGTTCTGAAACTTTTTTATGGTATTCCATGGGTTTCCATTTGCACCCCATAATTTCAAAGAAGGTTGCTGTGTTTCAGCTTGGCTGTCATGGCGTGTGGGGGTGGGGGTGGGCATACGAGAGAGAGAATGACAGCTGGTTTATATGCCTTTTCTAGAAAAGTTTTAGTATAACAATGTATGTAATGTGTTTATTTTTCAGGCTGGTGCGTGGCCTTTGACTCAGGCGCCTTCATCTACATTTGCAATTCCTCAGGAACTGGAAAAAAGTGTACAGATGGTAGGTTAGTAGGAGATTTCTTGCAGATTTAATAACTAACAGTCTTACGTTGAGAATTGAAATTCTTCAACCAGCCCTCCCTGACCTATGCCTTCCAGATGTTGTTGGACACCAACTCCTATCAACCGTAGGCAGCATGGCCATTGGTCAATGATGATGGGAGCTATAGTTCAAACATATGTGGAGGGCCCCAGCTTGTAGAAGAAAAGCCGCCTTTAACTGATCAGTGTTAGTGTAGAAATAATTCACAATCCATATAAATACAGTGGTACCTCCGGTTACAAACAATCCGTTCTGGAGGTCCGTTTGTAACCCGAAACTGCTTGTAACATGAGGCACGTTTTCGCTAATGGTACCTCCCGCTCCTGCTGTGCTGCCAGGGCGCGACTTCCACTCGCATCCCGGGGCAAAGTTTGCAACAAGGGGCATCTACTTCCAGGTTAGCGGAACTTGTAACCCGCAGCATTCGCAAGGAGGACGGTTCCACTGTAACCTAAATGCTTGTTCAGTTTGGATGCTGTCACAAAGTGCTTTCATAGTTCTGTAAGGAACGTGAGGTATGATAACTTATATTCTGCTAACAGGACAGCACAAATCTCCTATCCTTTAATATTATGAGAATCCTCCTGTGACAGAGAAAAGGGTTGATGTCTAGCACTTCCAAATTGCCAGTAAACATATATTTAAAATTCCCATTTTGACTCATTCAGATTTGAAGTTTAATTGTACTTCTCTCTAAGTTACAATGTAACCTGCAAGCATAAAAACATACAAAGTGTTTGGAATACTGTATACTGTCTCCAACAAGGGGGTGCATCAGTATCCTTCCAGTATATGTTGCTCGCTGCATATTTTCCTATGTGTTATGATTTACAACAAGTTTATGCTATTGATTAACTTGACCCCATTCTCATGGTTGTAGTATTGGTGCATTGAGACAAACCTGTGTGTTCATAAGTTCATTGCTCCCCTCTGCTGCTTTTACTTTTTGGCATTCCATACTCACTTGCTGAGCACTGAATGCTCTGGACACTTTTTCACTGCCTCTGCCCACTTTCATCTTGGACAAACTGCTGCTTAATATATTTTTGGAGCTAATCGTGAGAAACATCCCAAATTTAGCAGCAAATACTCAGCTTTAAGCTGCTGGCAACCATTAGAAACTTTTAACACCCTGGTATATTACAACTTGAAGGTGACTGAAATTTCAGTATTGTTGACTTTTCTAATAAACAAGGTTTTTTGTATGTGGGAATATCAGTAAGATGTCTGGATAAAATGTTCAGTTTCCAAGTAGTTTGATTCAGGTTTTTTTTTCATGTGTACAGCTAGCATAAATCCTGTGTTCCCTGGCAAGCACGGTTTTTGATGTTCTTCTGTATAATTTGAAAAACCACCTGTTCTTTCTGTAGGTTATAAGTTGGGTGCTTAGGAAAAGATTAGTTGTGTCATAAAACTCTAGCTGGTTCTACTGAAATATATTTTCTCTCATACTTGCGTGCACACACACACACACACACACACACACACACGAAGAAAGAAACTGAATTCAAGCCACTGGCTCATAGTTTGCTCCTAACAGTTTTGAAAACACTAATTGCTACTGACATTTTATTTTATAATTCAGAAACTCTCTGTTCCTTCTGGGTTTTAAGAAAAAGCAAAATATTGTTCCTCCAGTGAAAATAGTTTCTTCATGTGATAGACTTTACCTCCTAAAACACGATCCAAATTACGTATGATATTTGATTGGAATTTATTATTTCTAAGTGTGCTCCAATTTCCATCACTTCATTATGGGAAGATCTTTTGCATCTACTTCATCATTAGCACAATTGTCTTAAGAGTTCATATGCCATGTTTAGTGTCAGGGTTTGTTTTTTCTTTCTTTCTGGCAACTTTGATTAACATAGATTGGGTCATATTCCCATTATTAGAAACCATGAGACACATCTTTCTGTCTGCATTGTGCATTTTATAGCCAGAGAATTCATTCTTGAATATAGTTCCTGATTTCTTGTTGCTTTTGTGGCAATTTGGGGGGAAAGATGGCTTTTCCTTTTAAAACAGCCTTGTACTTGCAACCTGATGTACTCCAGTTGACATAAAGAAAATACCAAGCTCTCTTAAAGACCCCTTTTTATTTTCCTCCACTTAGACAGCCATCAGCTCGGCCCTAACCTCTTGATGCAACTTGGTGGCACCAAAGGAAGAGGCCACTCTGTTTCCAAGTGACTAGTTAAATGAAAAGAATCCGACCAGTTCTGTGTTGTTTGCAGATCTTGGATGGCTGCTGAATATCTTTTCAGATCTCTGGGGAAAGGAGTAGTCAGCCTTCAGACTGGAAGTTACTTCCGTTGTGGCACGTACACAGAACTTGTCAGATAAAATGAATTTGACACCCATCTGCTAGGGAACCTTTTCTCGTTCCCTAAGAAGTCAGAAACAGTTTAGCTTTCCTCTTCCACCATCATTTTCTTTTTTAAAAAACTGCTTTTTTCTCCCTAGCACTATCAGGATTGGTGGGTTAGACATAGTGGAAGAATGGGAAGTATCTGCTCTTTGCCCATGAGGTGATTTTTCCCATGGAGTCTTTAAAGCTCCTGTTTGCTGCTAGGCTGTTAACTGTTTAGGGAAGTTTTTAATGTTTGATGTTTTATCGCTTTATTATTATCATTATTAATATTACGTTGGGAGCCGCCCAAAGTAGCTGGGAAAACCCAGCCAGATGGGCGGGGTGTGTGTGTGTGTGTGTGTGTGTGTGTGTGTGTATGTATATATATATATATATATATATATATATATATATATATATATATATATATATATAAAAATGTGGATGCTTTAGAGTTTTGGAAGAATCTCCTCGAGAGTATGAGGTACTCTCTGCCTTTATAGGCTGGGGGCCTGGTTACCAAGAACACTCTAAATAGCAACCTCACTTTTACCAGTGTGAGGATTGGCAGACTGCGTATATATTAGGAGACCAGGTGAGAAACATAGCTGTCCTATGATAGCAAACCTAAAAGGCATTGTAAAAGTTTCTAAACTTTTCCCATTCCTAACAGTTGGTTTTGTAGGCTTGTTCCTTCCATCCTTCATGTGGTATCAGTCGTTGTGTGGTTTTGGGTTGGAAACCGAGAACTGCCACTGCTGCAGTTTGTGCATCTTCTCACAAGTTCCAAGAAGTGTAGAAATTAAAGTGGCAAGGTTATGATAGTGGGTGGGAGATAATTCTTTTGGGTACAGAGAAGCTGGTCAATCCTAACTCAGGTCCCTGGTTTGTTCATAAAGGGAGGGCTTTTTTCAGGTAAGGACAGTTTGTAACTAATACCCAGTGCTTGAGACAGCCTCAACAACCAACCACCTTTCATCAGAGCCAACCGTGTAATCTGACCATGTAAAATTCACATTTTGGCGGCTTCTTCTGCAGGCAGCATAACTAATAAATGTTCCACTCTTTTCATCCTCCATTTGCACTGGATTCCTGCCTCCTAATATGTTGGGGCTATTTGGTCTCCCCTTCTACTCCCTCTTCTGCCCTAAAAAGTTGAAATAAAAAGACAACAGATACTATCACAGTATTGTTGGATTTTTGCTGCCATTCCTTTCTAACCTTCCACCCGGCACGCTTGGTAGGGATGCGGGAGAGGGACTTCTCAGTGACTTCTCCCAGATTTTGCAACTCCCTAGAGAAGCTAGAGGGATGCGGGTGGCACTGTGGGTTAAACCACAGAACCTAGGGCTTGCCAATCAGAAGGTCGGCAGTTCGAATCCCTGCCACGGGGTGAGCTCCTGTTGCTCGGTCCCTGCTCCTGCCAACCTAGCAGTTCAAAAGCATGTCAAAGTGCAAGTAGATAAATAGGTACCGCTCCGGCAGGAAGGTAAACGGCGTTTCCGTGCGCTGCTCTGGTTCGCTAGAAGCGGCTTAGTCATGCTGGCCACATGACCCAGAAGCTGTACGCCGGCTCCCTCGGCCAATAAAGCAAGATGAGCGCCGCAGCCCCAGAGTCGGTCACGACTGGACCTAATGGTCAGGGGTCCCTTTACCTTTTAGAGAAGCTAGACAGGCTCCCTCCTTGTAGTCCTCCTGCCAGCAGTTTAAGACTTTTTTTTTTAATCCAAATAATTGTTATTGGTTTTCATGTAAATACGAGAACAACATATAACTACAGTAACTTGTCGAGTGGTACATTCTTACTAAGTTTCATATGCAGTTAACTGGGCATCAGAGTTAAGACTTTCTTGTTCCAACTGGCTTTTGGAAACTGGTGGCTTATAATGAGAGAGCTGGTGCGCTGCTGTTTTTATTGTATTTATTGGTGAAGTGGGGAGGCAGCCGAGATACATTTCAGACATCCTGATAAATCAGCATATTGCGGTATTTAGCTGCTGATATATCATGTTGTCAAAAACCAGATATCGACCCAATCCTGAGAAGCAGAAATATGTTGTGTGTCCTTACAGATGGGCAAAGGACGTTAGTAGGAAGTTTTAGTACTACAAACTGGTATGAAATGCACCACATTAAAATGCTATGGTTAGTAGGAACAGCTTGATACCAGTGGACTGTCCAGCATGACTACAAAGGGATACTTCTTACTTTTTTGTGTACATCCCTTGGGGCAGATGCTGCTACATAGTGAATGGTAATGACGGGACTGATGCACAAATTGTTAGTTGACATCAACCTTTCTTGCAGATTTGCAGAATTGAAATGTTAGCAACAGCCTTAATAAGGGCTTAACTCTGTGCTATTTAAATTGTCATTTTAATCAGTGATTTGCTTTCTAAATCCCGCTTTCTAATTTATTTGATCAGACAAAATTAACTAATGTACTTAGAATTTAGATAGAGTTTGCCTTTTTTCTGAGCTGGTTTCAGACAGGCTTCAAAGGAAAAGGGGAGGCTCTGAAATGGAAAGTCTCCTGTGCTTTTTCTTTTTATGAACCTCCTTGTGTCAGTGGGAGATGGCCCCAATAAATTCTAACCCCTGAGGCTTGTGAATTAAATTAGACTGGGGTTTTTTGATGTTGTATTAGCAATCTCCACTGTAGCTATCAGTTTTATTTAATGAGCAATTAATGTAAGTAATGAGTGATAAATGTTTCTTAATAGGAAAGATATGAAATACCGCTCTAAAGGCTATTACTTGAATAGTTAACGTGTGCATTTGACTTTCATGAATATCTAGTGCTCAATTCCAATAATAAACCTTTATTAATTATCATTAGTGAATTATTAATCTTTTGGTTTATCTTTTATAATAAGTATAGCATGAGGCATTCTTTGGATTTGCTTGAAGAATTGCAGGCTTTTCTCCCAATTCCTCCTTTAACAAAAGACAGAATGTTCAAAGTTCTGTTGTGGTGTTTAAAGATTCTGTGGCCGGTTTCAATAATATGATTTAACCCTCTTAGGAAATAGACTAGTGTGTGGTATTACATTCTACCATCTCCGAAGATACTGCTGTATAGTTAGTTAGCTCAAAGTAAGGGAAAAAGAAAGGAACTAGGAACACTCCTCTTGAAATTTTATAGCCCTCTCATCCATGACTTGCTCTGAATTTAGAGCTTACCTAGCAGCTTTTGAAGCTAATTCTTAGAGTTAAGGGACCCTTAAACAAAGCCTGATTTGCTGGCTCCTCTAGTGACCTTTTTGCTGTCTTCCAAGAGGGACTCAATGGGGTGCTCAGGAGTTACCAACACACATTTCCTGAGAAACACTGTCAGTCGCCCAGCAAGTCTAAGCTTTAAGAAGAGCGGGAACTGCCTGCCTCTCAAGTTGCTTGCTTGAAATTGCTTCATGTGTCTTAAGGAGCTAGTTACTTTCTTCACAGGGTGGTGGCTGGTCATATTAAAAATCGATATAAAGTGATTAACTATGAATAAATAAAAAGGTATATTCTGCAGTGGAATGCTAATAGATCCAGTTAAAGATACATGTCAGTAATTGTACTAATTAAAGTTGGCAGTAATAATAGTAATTATTATTCTTATTAAACTGTATTATCCACCCATCACCATCAGGTCCCAGGGCAGATTACAGCAATTTAAACTTCAATATTAAAAAATAGTTAAAACAGATTCGTCAAAAGAAGGTCCTGAAAATGCATAGTGTCAAAAGCCAGAGTAAAGATGCATGTCTCCAGCATACTATGCTGAATTTAACACCCAAGAGGGTATGTAGGAAAGGAAGTGATCTTTCAGAGATGTGGGGCCTAGCCCAAACCATGCTATCAAAAGCATTGAGTGCTGGTAGCGATGCAACACACACACAACCCCACTACCCAGTTCTACAGTGGTTAAAATGTTGTATTCAGATGGGGAGTAGGATGATTAAAATGTTAAACTCTTAATAAATATTCTTGCGATGCAGGGGGTTGGACTAGATGATCCTCAGGGTTCCTTCCAACTTTACAATTCCATGATTCTGTGTTTGCACTTTCTTTGTGATTGGATCTTTTTGCTTCATGAGTTTACAAGCATATGTTGCATTATATCTGACATTTGAAGAAGGTTCATTGTATTATTGTGTATTATTATGCTAAGCTCTGCACTAACCAGAATTCTTTGTCTTGAGGTATTTGGCTGAGGTCTTAATCTCTTAAAATATTTGACCCAAAGAATGATTTTGTTTTACAGTTTGAATTATTTTACAGTCAGCATTTCAGTGGGAGGAAACTCACCTGGCTTCATTATCTCTGCACAGGTAAAATAAGTGTGCATGCTTTTTACCTTCTGGAAGTTTCTAATATGCTAATACTAGTTTTTTATTATTGGAACCCATAAATCCTTTGGAAGTTTAGTAAATTTTTAAAACCCTCTTAAAATTACTTTCGTTGACATTGTTAATATGGTTGTGCTGATTTAGCACTAATAGGTATCTTAATTTCATCTCCTTTGAAGCTTGCCTATAGGATTTATTGCTTTACAGATTGTATCTTTGTGATATTAACAGAGTGTTCTCCAGAAATGAGTTGTATTTCGAGACAGCCTTTTGGAAAACACCCAGTTATTAGTATAGGTTGAAAAAAGAAAATGTTAGCATAAGATTCAGTTTGATTATACAGGCAACTCGGCATAGTTTGATTCTTCAACAGTGCTTTGAGCTGGAACGGTTTAAGGTTTGTTAGCAAGACCTGGAAAGCTGGGACAGAAGGGCATTATGGAAGTGTGTGTACAAGGAACAAATTAATGCAGACACCAGGAGACAGGATTGGGGAGTAATGGATGTGGAGATGACTACACTAAATGAAAGAATATAAGAATAGCCCCACTGAATCAGACTGGCAGCTCATTCGGTCCAGCATCCTGTTCTTACAGTGACCAACTAGATGCCCATGGGAAGTCAGCAAACAACCTAAACTCCACAATATTTTGCCCACTTACGTTTCCCACCAGCTGGTATTCAGATGCACATTGCCTCTGGCAGTATAGGTAGTAAATAGCCATCATTGCCAGTAGCCACTGATAACCTTAATTTCCATGAATTTGTCAAATAGGTGGCCAGCGCTGCTACTTGTGAGAGTAAATTCCATTGTTCAACTATGCGCTGTGTGAAGACGTTTGTTCTTTTGTCTGACCTGAATCTTCCAACATTCAGCCATATTGGGTGGTCTTGGGGCCTAGTACTATGCGAGAAGGTGAAAAATGTCTTGCTGTCCACTTTCTCACACTGTGCATAATTTTTATATACCTCAGTATCCCAGCTGTGTACAGAAACATGCTTTATTTGAGTTATTTCTTTCACTGAGAGAACCAGTTAATAAAACCCTTAGCTCATTTCTTCTCTGCATGCTTGGTTCGGTTAACCACCAGGCCTTGGGCTACTCCATGCCTGGCCCCACGTTGAAGGAGAGTGCCATTTTTAAAATTTGTAATGTGAGCTAAACCGGTTCATGAAATGCATCGTTGATTTGCAGGTGAAGTTAAAATGAATTATTTGTGCAAACCATATGTAGCCATGGTTACAACATACCAAATGGCAGTGCTGCTTGCCTTCAACAACAGTGAAACTGTCAGTTATAGAGAACTTCAAGACAGTACGCAGATGAATGAGAAGGAATTGACAAAAACGATCAAGTCGTTACTTGATGTCAAAATGATCAACCATGACTCTGAGAAGGTACGTCGCCAAAGGGACATAGAATGTATTTGCTTCTGTCTCCACTTGCTGGACATTTGCAAGTGTTTTGTGTTTGTTTTATGGGGGAGATGAAGCACTGCCTTCCGTCACTATCGCCCACAGCTTGTATAGTAACGGAGGGCAACCTGTGCTTCCCCAGATGTTGCTGAACTGCAGCTCCCATCATATCTGACCATTGACCATTCTGGCTAGGAGTGATGGGAGTTGGAGTCCATCAACATCTGGAGAGCCACAGGTTCCTCATCTTTTGCTTATAGAATTTCAGATTGGCCACATCTTTATGTGGTTTTGGAACACTGTGTCAGGAGCTTGTCCTACACTCGAGAAGGACCCTGGCAGAGACACATGCCCGACTGGCATGTTCTCTCCCTCCTGGTCTTTCGTTCAGGAGCTTCAAAAGCTTTCTTCTGCCCGAACATCACAGCGACCGATGCCAACAGACATCGGCACACTTAAGGATCCACAGAGTCTTGGCAGCTTGCGTAACAGACCTCAGCAACTCAGCATTTTGGCTAATCTACTTTATTTATGTATAACACACACACAGAGCACTGCAACATGGCTCCCTCTCTCTCTCTCTAGCATCAGACAGCAAAGAGAAAGAACAAAGGACAATAGTCCCACTTCACGGAACACAGTAACACAAACATCCTGTCTCTATCACTTCCCACTTCGTGGAGTCAAAACATACCACGTCATGTGAAACACAACAATCCCATAAGAGCCATTGTGGAGCAGGAATTCTAACACATTGTCCATGAGAACAATGCAAATTACACCTGCCTAAAAACCTTGAACTTCATGCCTCTCAAGTAAGGTAAAGGTAAAGGACCCCTGGATGATTAAGTCCCATCAAACGGGTGCGGTGCTTATTTCACTTTTCAAGGCTGAGAGAGCTGGCGTTTGTCCGCAGACAGCTTTCTGGGTCATGTGGCCAGCATGACTTAAACTGCTTCTGGTGCAACGGGACAAGTGCCAGAGCGCATGGAAATGCCGTTTACCTTCCTGCCACAGCGGTACCTATCTACTTGCACTGATATGCTTTCAAACTGCTGGGTTGGCAGAAGCTGGGACAGAGCGACGGGAGCTCACCCCATCGTGCAGATTCAAAACGCGACCTTTCGATCGGCAAGCCCAAGTGGCTTAGTGGTTTAGACCACAGCGCCACCCACGTCCCTCTCACGTACCAGTCCCCATGCCCCTTTGCAAACTGCTTTTGAAACTCAGTGTTCTTTCAGAAACAGTTGGTAAAAATGACTTGAAGTTTTACTCCTCAAAATGGACAAAACCTCAAAAATCCCACCTAAAGTACTGAAGCTTGGAGTGCTGTGTGTGCCTGTTTCCTGTGCATCTGAGGGGACTTGAGTTTCCATAGTTAGCAAAAAGAACATCCTGAAGTACAGCTTACCCAGAACATTCCTGACTGTGGGTCTCCTAGACAAGGCAGTAGACAGTTATTACAAACCTAATCCTTGAGCAGTGCAACAAACTCATGTTCTTAAAGCTATATCTATCCCCATAGGCTGAAATGAGATTATCTGTAAGAAATGGTCCATTTTTCCTCAGTGCCTTTTTGTAATTCAATTTAAGAGGACAAGGAAGTGCACTTTCTAACTTTTCCCCAGGAATGTCACAGGATTGATAGACTAAAACATGTTCTAATTATTTTTCAGTAATTGGTCTTGCTATATTTCAATCTTGTTAACAACATTAGGCATTTTTGTGTTCAGCGTAGTGGAACAATTGCACTGGGCTCGTTTTAAAAACAATCATATATGTAAAATGCATTATCTTGAGTGCCTTGAGTTGCCAAACTGCTCCATAGGGAAGTTAAATAATTCAGACCTGCCAAATTGAAGAAAAAAAATAGCAATATGTTTATATTTCAACAGCGAAGATGTAAGCCATATGTAACTCTAGATATTTTTCATGCAAGCTGTTCACTGTTCTTGGGGAAACAGACAAGCTGTTAATGTGTTTGGCATCATTTGTGTGTGAAATACACATGCTTTTCTCATTGCAGGAAGATGTAGAAGCAGAGTCTACTTTTTCATTAAATATGAACTTCAGCAGTAAACGGACAAAATTTAAAATCACTACATCAATGCAAAAAGATACACCACAGGCAAGTATCAACTTCTTTGATATGAACTAGCTTGAATTGCATGAATAGTATAAAACTGAAACCTATTTTTAAAACTGCTAACTTTTTGGTGTTAGAAGTAGAAAGAGTTAATGGGAGGCAAGCAAGATCATTGCAATGAGGTTGCTAGTATAGACAGCATGGCATTTTCAAGGCGATCCAGTGCAAACTGGGCTTCAAATTGAGAAGTGTGGATTAAATTGGGAATTTCCAATTTACCAAATTGCTCTAAGTCTCATCAGTCCTTTACAGCTAACAGCATTAGTCATTCCAACTTGTTCACAGTGATTACAGCTTGAAAAATAAAACATTTGAACTAGGAATGTCATTCCTTTCAACCATGTGTCATGGCAGATATCTAGATAAGCTAAGAATTAATATTTCTCGAATCTCAGTTGCATAATGAACTAAACTTTTATCAAATTAGTCTTATTACTTCACTGATCCAATTGATCCACCACCTTCTCCAAAAACCGGATATTGCAACTGGCTGATAGCTGGGAGTCAGTAACCTCTGGACCTTCCATAATTACTCAGCTGGCTGGCTACTAGAGGACATAATGCAAACTGCAAAAAGAGCTTTATTCACAGCCCACACTTCCACATGGCAAGCATGATTGTGAATTCTTGCCAGTGTTCGGTTGGCTTCAGAGCGAGACTAGCCACTTGTGCTCCAGTCTTCTCCTACCTGGTCCATAGTCTAGAGCAGAGTTTCCCAAACTTGGGTCTCTAGCTGTTATTGGACAATAACTGCCACCATCCCTAACTAGCAGGGCCAGTGATCAGGGATGCTGAGAAGTTTAGGAAACCCTGGTCTAGAACTCCTTAGAGTCCCAAGGAGCTGCTCCAGCTCCATCACGCCTCTGAAGGCGGGCCATCTGAATGGGCCCACCATTCTTACAGGGGAGAATTGCCAGTGTCCGCCCAGATAATGACAGGGGTCTGACCATGACAAGGAAGTGCCTTGCACTCCTGCTACATCAAGAGTGTGCCCTGCCTGGTGTGTTGGACCAATGGCCATCTGAGAGAGACCCATGGTTGTCATGGATGTCATGAAGTCTCTAGCTGGCCTGACAGCAGCCACCATGTGGATATGGATATGGAAATCACCCAAGATTATCATCTGAGGGTCCTCCTCAGAGACTACTTTAGCAAGCCTGATCAGGGATGTTTAGTAGACCAGCAGCACCCCTGTCTTTCTGGCCCAATACCAGATGCAGACCCTCTGAGCCCATCCCAAGATCAAGAGGCTTCCTGGCCAAGGAGATGTTGCTCTTATGGACAATAGCAACACCCCCACCTCAACCCCCTAGTTATGCACAATCAGGTTGTACATGAGCATGGTTTTATTATGGACCAATCTAGCATTCAGCAACAGCACCACCAGACCAGAGGAGACAGTGGATATGCTACCAGTAACTTCTGATGGAGTCAGAGGGCTGAAATAAGGATCGGAGACCAAATCCCTAGGCCTCTGTCCCTGATGGTCAGCCCCCACCCCTGCTCAAAATGTGCCTTCCCCTGCCCAACACCACTGAAATCTTGCCCATCCAGAAGCATTAGCACGCCATAATTCACCCCATATGCAGCTTGGAGATTTGAATACAGAATAGCAAGCTCAGGACCAGTACTATATGCATCCTACACAGCCAGAAGTTGATGTTAAATCCCCTAGCCACTCTCTTCCCCCTGCCTCTCACTCACAACTTCCACAAAGCAAGACTTCCCCTCCACCTGGCTCTCACCCTAGCTGAGGGTCACAGGTGTTTCACACAGTACCTTCTATATCCTGACTGACAGTATGGGGCGCCCCTGCCCCTGTTTCTTCCTGACGTATGACTCAAAAGTGGCAAACCCCTTTGGTGTCAAGCTGGTTATAGCAAGGCAGGCCCTGGAACCCCCCCCCCCAACTGCATTCACTCAGCCAGCAATCAGGCAATAACCCACGCTATTAAGCAGAGCAAACACTGTTACCTTCAGCCAGATGATACACAGGTCAAGCAAATGCTGTAGCGCGACACACACTTGCTGGCTGGGAGGACAGACCAGGCAAGGACCAGGATGGTACAAAGTCCTCCCTGTTTTCTCTGTGAGTCTGCTGACTTTTTGTTAAGTAGCTTAGAGAGTGTTTCAGTGGTCTCACATCCAGACACTGCTGAGATCCAACTCACCTTAACTTCCAAGTGCACAATAGCATTAGCGTCGCCATCAGGATTCACTAACAGAAACCATAGTGTTAGCTATGAGCACAGTGCAATGCACAGCCTGAACATACAATTCCACGACTGCATTCCTGGTGCAAACTTCACAGCCAACCCCCTGAATTATACCTTGTTAGACTATTGAATCAGTCTCTTGGTATATAAATCAGTTAATGTGTGTGTGTGTGTGTGTGTGTGTGTGTGTGTGTGTTGCAGGAAATGGAGCAAACCAGAAGCGCTGTAGATGAAGATAGAAAAATGTACCTTCAAGCTGCTATAGTTCGTATCATGAAAGCGCGGAAGCTTCTGCGACACAATGCTCTTATTCAGGAGGTAAGAGCATGTGCTGACCAGTGTTATGGACTTGATGAAAACATGTAACTTATTCTGTTCTGGCGGAAATTTGTAGAATGTAGTAGGAGATCTTGTTAAGGACAGTGGTTTGGTTATTGCTGTTTTTGGCCAGGTTGGAAGCCCCTAATGCTATATATACATTGGAACTCTGGTGTTAGAACTGTCAACTTTAAATACAAAACATAGGGCACAAAATGCCATGTTAGGTATCCCCAAGCAGATGCAAATCAAACAACATAGAGGTGTCATAATGCACCCAAAAGATGCTTGGGCTTTCAGTGAGAGGTTGCCTAGAGAAGTGCTGTAAACTGAGTGGTACACGAGAACAGCAACTGACAGCAATAATTTCTGTTGTCACAAAAGTCATTTTACCAGCAGTGCTGATTATGGAAATAGTTGCAGCAGGTTCCATTTTTACCAGCAGGTTTACATGTGCATTCCTCCACATGAAGTACATTTGTACCTTGGTTTTCAAACAGAATCGGTTCTGGAAGTTCGTTCCACTTCCGAAAACGTTCGAAAACCAAGGCTTCCAATTGGCTGCAGGAGCTTCCTGCACTCAGTCAGAAGTTGGACGTTCGGCTTCCAAAAAAAGTTAGCAAACCAGAACACTTGCTTCTGGATTTGCAGCATTTGGGAGCCAAAACGTTCGAGTCACAAGGCGTTCAAGAACCAAGGTACGACTGTATGCTCTGTGGAAAGCTCAAGACTGTTCACAAGGAGGAAAAATAATATTATGTGAACTATCCCACAGTTCAGGAAAAAAATGAATGTATGCCCTTTTAGAATGATGTGCAGAAGGTGACATTGGTTTTGTTTTGAAGCTTTATAACTCATTTGAATTAGGTGTATGTTAAATAAAGCGTCTCTCTCTCTCTTTCAGGTCATTAGCCAATCAAGAGCTAGGTTTAATCCAAGTATCAGCATGATTAAGAAGTGTATTGAAGTTCTGATTGACAAACAATACATTGAGCGGAGCCAGTCCTCAGCAGATGAGTACAGCTATGTAGCATGAGGTTAATATCCTGCAGGTATGGTTGTACGGAGATCATTGCTGTCACTGCTTGGTGTGTCCTGTGGGGGGGAAAAAAGCAGGCCTGCTGTGTCTCCATAATTGGTCACTTTGGCAGCCCCTGTTTTTTCTGCTGTTTACAACATCACCAGTGCCACGTCATGAGCGTCAACGAAAAGAAATGAAAAGCCTATAGATATTCCAAGCTCATGTCATTATGACATTTCTTAAAACTTTACTAAACGAGAATGAGTAAAGTATTGCTGAAATGTGGAAATTTTGGTTGGATACCATGCTTCCCCCCTTCCACCCCCTCCATGCCCCCCACGTTTGCAGTTGATGTTTTTTAATGTATCTTAAAAGACAAAGTTAAAACAGACTAAATATTGTAATATGGCAGATAACATAATAATTGTATCTACATTAAAATGTAAAAAGAACATGATACTGCTGCTTGTCAAATAAATAAAGAAATGGAATATGTTGTGGTGATTTGATTTTAATTAATAAATCAACTTTGAAGGACATCTAAATTACTGTTCTATCTGCACTTCCATCCATGGGTTCTGCAGCTGCGCAGAGCTACCTGCAGGTAGCTGTGTGTTTCTTATTTGGAAGCAAAGGCCCACCAAGCTCAGTGGGGTTTATCTCACGTCAGTGAGATTGTGGTGTAGTTAGTTTTATTATGTTAAGGCAGTTGTTCATATTCCAAGTTACGCTGTCCAGCATTGAAGTGCAAGTCTGGAAACGGGGATTCTGATCATCTGCAATATGATTAGGGCTATTTGTGTCAATTTATCTATTTTTAAAAGAATTGGTTTGTGTGTGAGTACACAACCATGTGACTACTGTGTGTAAACCAGTTATAGGGAGCCAGGAAACAGTTCTTTGTTTGTGGCTGCACTTTTTCTAGCAAATGGCACAATGGGAAATGATTAACCTTTGAACTTACATTAGGATTGCAAACAGATGCATTTGCGTTTTGTCGAACATGTCCCTAAGGATGTTTTAGCAAATATTTCCTTCAGTATGTCATCTCTTTTGACTCTCCTAAACATAACAGAAATACCTGTTCTAAACATTGACCCATCCAGGAATCCTTAAAAGCCTCCTTTTGATCTTTTCCATTATTGTTCCACTTTTGGTTTATCGATGAGCCATTCAGAGACCATTAAACTTTGAGCAGGATTTGCCACCATCCTGCCTAAGTTGCAGTGGCATAGATCGTCTCCAGGACAACTTCACCCACAGTGCCTCACTCTTGAAGGACTCCTTACTCAGAATGAATTGTGCTGGGACCAGAAAGCCCTGTTGGAGGACCACCGCCTGTTTTTCTCACAGCAACCGCAAACCATTTCTATCAGGCTCACAGTGCTCCATTCCTTTGCTCAGATTAGCAGCAGCTGCCGCAGGTGGGTCATCCATGGTACAACAGCAGCAAGTTTCAAGAAATAGTCTTGTGTAGAACATGACAAAAGATTGGCACAATATTTATTTCAAGACACATTCCTGAGTGTTTTTTTCCCCTTAACATTTTTAAAGTGGCCATAGCAGTATAATAATTTTTAAACTTTTTTTCCGCTCAGTGGTGGGGTGGGACAAAGCTACTGGAGCCGCATATAGCAGCTAAGAACTTGCATCACTGTCTGCTAGCAAATTGCAAGTATCCTTGCTAGGATAAACGAGCCTGCCCCATCCTAGTGCCCTCTAGATGTTTTTGGACTACAGCTTCCATAATCCCTGACCATTGGCTAGATATAAAGATGCCATGAATTCTTTGGATTGGCTCAGAGTACAAAATACCATCTTGATGAATTTTAATCTGCTAGAAACTTGTTAAGTCTTGCTGTGAAAAGTGTAGTGGAATTTAAATAGCACTAATGCCCTGGGGAAATGAGTCCACAAGGGCAAGCAGCAGCAGCAGTTACATCAACCAGCTATTAAGGTTTTGGGAAAGAATAATATAAAGTCCAAGAAGGACCCGGAAGGAGATGGGCTCTTTTATTCATGAGATTTTTAGAACAATATTTGAGCACATGACATATTTAATTGTTGACATGGACTCTGGCTTAGCTACCTGACTGCTGGGTAAAGGGAAGGAAGGGGAGCTTGAGGCTGGGTATGAAGAAGAAAGGAGAGAGGTTTTAATTCTATACTGTGTTCTTGCAAATTCAACTACTTGTGGTCTAGTTGCTACCCCTAAAAATGTTTGGACGCTTAGGAGGTTGATATGATTGGCTTTCCCCTAATTAAATAGCATTTTTGCAAACCACGCAGCCTCCTACTCTGCAGTAGCACAAGGAAGCTTAATGCACTTGCTGCATGCTGCTGCTGTGATTTTTGCTCATTTTAGTAGAAGAGGAGGAGTTTGGATTTGATATCCCGCCTTTCACTCCCTTTAAGGAGTCTCAAAGCGGCTAACATTCTCCTTTCCCTTCCTCCCCCACAACAAACACTCTGTGAGGTGAGTGGGGCTGAGAGACTTCAAAGAAGTGTGACTGGCCCAAGGTCACCCAGCAGCTGCATGTGGAGGAGCGGAGACGCGAACCCGGTTCCCCAGATTACGAGACTACCGCTATTAACCACTACACCACACTGGCTCTCGTACAGTTTGGTAGAATGGTCATTCCCCTTTCTCTCCTGTTTACTGCCGGTTGGATTTCAGCATCCTTTCCTTGCCCTTCTTATATGGCATCTGACTGAAAGATATCATAGTAAGAAATGCATATCTTCCTTCATGTTCCTATCCCTGAGCAGATGTCAGGTTCTGCTTGGTGGTTTTACTAGAATATTATGATTGACAGGCTTCTGCACTCTGTGGAACAAGGACCAAGGTACTTCTGAGCAGATGTTCAGCCCAGGAGCATATTTTTACAACCCAAACTGATCTGAAGATCCTGTCATACACAATTCCACTCCCCAAGCTTTATTTGGAAGGCATTTTGGTTGCTATTGTGAAACCACTTGGGGGGGGGGTCAAACACTTTCTGATCTACTGCAAATCACCTTGAGATCTACCAATAGATCCCAAACTACTTTCTGGCCCAGACCAACCCATCTGGCAGGGTGACACCACTATCTCAGGTGGCGGAAGCCCCGAGACAGCACCCTCACAGGCACCCTGCCACCTCCGCCACTGGGGGAGAAGCAGAACTGACATCAGCGCTGATTTCCAGTGAGATCTCAACAGAAATTGGTGCTAATGTCTGTACCACTTCACCACTGGCAGAGGCAGCCGGGCAGGGAGACACTTCCCATTTTGCCTCAAGCTGTGAAATGGGACACAGTGCCCTTGTTTGTCCACCCCTGCTCTAACTTGCTTACTTGCTGTGCAACACCACTGCTGGAGCACTACCTCTGCCTCCTGTTTTAAAAGCATGACTGCCCCTCTGCTTTGCTACCTCTCTGCCTTTTCTGAGAGGTCAAGGTTTAAGGGAGCATTGAAGCCAAGTATAAAATGTTTGGGGTGGTGTGCATACTTCTTCTCATTGTGGTGGAAGGGCCAGAGTGAATCCATTGTACTGTGGAATGTACACCTGCTTATAAAAAGCAGTTCTATGGCGGCTGCATTCCTCTCTAGTCAGATCTCCTGAGAGCCTGTGAACTTGTGACTTTTGAAAGAAAAGTGGATGGAACGGGAACCGTTAGCAAGCTAGATAGCTTGCCCTTTCCAGAGTATAAAGTGATGTCAATTTGTCTAATTCAGTGGTATTTTATTTATATATTGTACTCTTCCAAAACCTCCTTGGCACTTTTATAACCCAAATTCTCTGGTGCTTTCTTTTGCTAGAGCATGTTTTTATTTTTCATCAGGCTTGTTGGAAAACAGCAATGTAGCGCTAACTACTCCTTTTTTATTGCCTTTTTATTTATTACACTTCCACTTTTTATGTCCATCTCTTGCAGCACCACATTTCCCCGAACACATTGAAATGGTATGAGCATTGGCCTCCTGTTAGACCAGCCGGGAATTAAATTAAGTTTGTATTGTGCTAGCAAAGTGGATGTCAAGTTTTCATTTCAGGAGGTGCCACACTTTGGCGGTGCTTGAAGCATCATTGCAGTGCAGTGTGCAAACACTTTCCCTTCCCCATTGAAAGGTTTTATTTTAAACAAATGGATAAGGATGTAGGGTAAATGTGTGCCAAGATTGTGCAAGGTAATGTATGGAAGAATGTGAACTTCCTCCAGCTCTTAAAAACATTTGGCCTGAAGTAAAGAATACTTTTTCCCCAATATAGGCAAGGTAGAGACAGAATGAGAGAGGCAGTATGCTCAAACAGCTGCAGGTCTTGACTGAACATTCATGCCCTCTGCCCTACTCATGACCACTGTTCAAACTGTGTGTGTGTGCCGTGGATGGTATGTGCTTAGGATGACCATATATCCTACTTGACAAAGGACAGTCCTCTGTTTTCAGAAATACTCTATTTGAAGCTCCAAACCTTGTCTGAAGATAAAAAAACTGCTAAGAAAAGAGAATAGGGGCTGGACCAGGGCAGCTGACGTGAGCAGACAACACTGGCCAGAGGCTTCCTCACTGCTGAGACGGATTGCATTTCTATTTAAATTACAGCGATTATTTCTAAATTTGCAACAATATTTTAAACCAGGCAAATTTTATGGAAGTCTGTCCACTTTTGTTCTCTTTTGTATGTGATCCATTTCCTCTTATTTGTTTTATTTAACACATTTATGTGTTGCTTAATCATTCACAACTCTAAGCAGTGTGCACAAAAACAATCCACAACATGCAATAAAATGAACAAAAATTAATAAAACTCAAACAATTCAAAGTTATGGTTATTGCTTGGGATCCCAGGTTGACTTTTCAACATTTCTATTAAGTTCTCAGCTAAATTTCACCATTCTTCTCTTGTTGTAATACATTTGTAAGCTACTTTGGAAGCCCTGTTTGTACCAAAAGGTGAATAAACATATTATTTTGTAAGGCAAGGTGGTAGAGGTGATCTCCCTAAGAGAGGACAATACTTCCTCAATACAAATTGGAAAATGCATCTCCCACACCCAGGCCATTCCTTCATTTTGTTACTTCTCTATGCAGCTGAAGTTAAACTTCCATGAGGGAGGGGGCAGAGGAAAAAGAAATTACGTCTTAGACAATTATCACAAGAGGGATGGATGCATAAAAACACAAGGTTAAGAGGACTGCAGCTGAGATTACCCTGTTTTCAGCACATTCAGTGAATGAGAAATACTATAATTATTGGCCTTTTGAGTGCCCGTTATTTTCTTCAATATTGAAGTGCATTCTGCTGCAGCTGTGAAGCAGTTAGACCCCTTGCAATTGCCTTGCAATTTATTTTGGCACCAGCGATGGTGTCTTGTTTCAAGCCTGTAACTCAGTGTAATCCTAAATGTTCATTGTTTGTCAATAACATTATCTGCTAAACACAACTTGGCTTAGTGATGTGGAAGAGCTTGTTTGCTGAATCACATTCATTGTGAAATGCCACACCTTTATGTACAGTACCATGGGAGGATAAAGCTATATTCTTGCTCCTGCAT